AGGCTTATTTCAAGTATTTACCAGATTTTTAATAAGGTACCTTAGAATAGACTTTTGTAATTCTTCTATACATTGTTAGGACAAACTGCTACTGTGAAGGTTCATCATACCATCAATACAACTTGTAGAATAGGTAAGGTGGAGGGGAAAAAAGGAGTCGTAACTAAAATGGATTTTTAAGAAGGCTTTTGGTTGAGTGAGTGGGACTACTTATCAATTTGTGCTGAAATGGAATTTTGCAGCGTAATATTTATAGAACTAGATGGGATTGGCTCTTTCAGGGTTGGCTTTAAAATCCTTAATGTTGTCCATTTACATTCAAAACTGGGAAATAAGTTTAGAGGGGTCTGTCCCTTACTCCCTTTCAAGTTAATGTGGTCTTGTGTATGTGCTTACTGCTTAGTGGATTATAATAAGAAAAGGGTACATGAAATGAGGATTCACGACAGGGAATTGATCAGAATTCAGATTGCCGGCTCTTTTGTAATTTGTGAATGTTAGTGTTTTATTTTGAAATATGTGGCCATTTGTCATACTTATGAGTTATGACTCTGCTTTTTCTGTGATTTTGGTGTCTCAGGATTGACTGAGGATGCATGTTGTAGGACTTTTAGTATGTTAGGGAAAATTCTATTTTTTAACATTAACCAAGACGTGAATTTTTTTTCTTGTACGACACATCTATATCCATTTTTACAAACTCTAACAGAGTTCTATTTCTTTCCTTTTTTTTTTTTTTTTTTTTTTTTTGGGAACCAAAACTGATGATTGAATTGAAGTGGGACCTATTCTTTGTTGTCTGGAAGCTATCTTAACATTCACTAGTCAATTAGAAATTCACTTTTTATGATTTACTTGCTTATTGAGTAGTTGACCACTAGAGAAGAACCAAACAGAAACTTTGAAGCAGAAATTCCTTATATCAATTCTCAATATCTCCTTAAATTTATGTCTGGTCTATATGCCTAACTCTGACTCCCCATGGAAGCAAGAGTAATCCAGTGGGAGATCAACGAGAGTTAAAGAAGCAAGTAATTATCTCATGAGGTAGCCTAATCCTTGTAGTTAGTTTAAGAGCTTAGATTGTCTCATAATTCATTTCATGAAGCCTTCTTGGCACAGGGTTAAGCTCTTCTATGTTCTCCATAGTTGTGATACAGTTTAATTTGGCAATGCATTATATCTATGGAGGACTCCTTTTATAATTTTAAGTTCATTTTGCTGCATCTGTCCTCGGTTTGGTTAAGGAATGTTTCAAATCAACTACTCTAAAGTCTAAACAATTTTTTCTTAAGGTACAGCACTACATTTATTAATATGCATTTCAAATAGTATAATGCTCTTGCTTGAGATATAGTTGCAAAAGGTAATTTGGACTACTTGCATTTGTATCTACTTCTATTATGTGCATCAATTACACTTCATCATAGTTTGAAAAGTCAACCAGGTTAAATTTTGTAAAAGAACTAGCGTTAGTTTTGGATGCTTAATCTCTCTCTTAGTCTCTTAGCTCTATGAGGCATGAGCTGTCTAATGCTCTAATGCTATTGTTTGCTGACTGTAAGACTTCAATACTTGAACAACTTTTTGATAAAAGAAACTATGACTGTCTAATAGCTTTCAAGTTTACAACATATAATTAATTCGTTATTTTTACAATCATATGTCTTTGTTCTATCTGAACAACCTCATTATTCCATTCAGTTCTAGATCCTGCAGTATACATTCTGGGTGGTTGATTGTGTTGCTTTATGATGGTAGGTTATACCTATTTCAATTTGTACTATATTTTATGCATCCATGGGAGGACTGCCATACTTCACATATAGGATTTCCTGAAGATTTACTTCCAGAATCTAGCCGCGAGACGTGGCATAGTATGGTTCTACCAGCTATCTTAAAACCACATTAAGCTTAAATGTGCCCAGCTTTTTATACATAGATTAAGAGTCATTTTTCATGGAAATTTTAGTTGTTGGCTGGATCCACACAGTAAATAGTTGGGGGAGACTACTTACCTGCTTGGTGTTGTTGATTCTTATCTCCTCTCTAATCTCTTTATCCCACAAATAGGTTAGAGAACATATCCAACTTAAATTTATCTGCTTGATTCTTATATCTTCACTGTATCCACTGATAGGTTAATATCGTAATAATATGTGAGGATAGATTGGAAAAAAAAAATTATTTAAATTTTTGTTTGATTCTCGGTTCTGCCATCTGTTGTATTGACTTTGGTTTCTCTCCTCTAGTTCTTGCATAATGGATGATTTCTTTGCTTAAATTGTTGGAGATGCATAAGCCATGTTCAGTTGCTGAGTAATTTTGATTTTTTTTTTTTTTTCCTTTCATGTGACAGTTGTTTGAGATGTTTCGGATTGCACTCAATACAGATATGCTTAGATAATCCTGAAAACCTTGTTGGCAGATGCCTGAACTTAAACGTGAATATTTTACTCATTCTAAGCTGTTATCTGCAGGAAGTACATGACTACTTAAAAACCATATGTCCAGATCTCCATATTACTCGAGGAGAATATGATGAAGATGCACGTTATCCAGAGACAAAAACCCTAACAATCGGTCAATTCAAGCTTGGACTTTGTCATGGTCACCAGGTTGGACTTTTGTTTTAATTTGCTGGCCCTATGATTATTTTTGGTTTGCAAAATCTTTGATGTTGGGATGTATAACAAGTGAAAATGGAATTGCTAGTTGCATCATCTTTAACAAGAGAATCAATTTAACTGATCAGGATGTGCATTGAGTATATCATTGTTGTCCTCCCCCGAAGACCCTGTAACTGCACTGGAAGAATGTAATTACATGTACATGTAAAATAATTAATAAATCTTTCCCATCCCATCCACCACCAAATTAAAATTCAACCTTAGCTTGAATGCTAAATTAAATGTTCTATGTAGTACACGCCAGTTATAGAGTTTGGCCAGGATTTTTCTACTAGGACTATTTGAATTTAGTAAATAGAAGATAAAATATTTGCTAAATGCTATTTAGATGATGAAAAAAGTTCCCTGCTCAATAATTGCAAATTCTCTTTCTTATTTCCCGCATATTACTTCTCAGTTGTCTACTGTATTGATCCGTCATGACTATAGAAGATCATGAATTTGAAGCTGAAGGTGTGTTTATATGACATTGTTCAAATCTATGTAAGCAGGCCTTCACTAGCCCTTTATTGCTTTGTCAATCCTGAGCAGTTTGGTTTGAGGATAAGGAGATGAGAAAACAGTATAAATAGATCATCCCTGTTCAGCAATTTGCAGTTAGCTGGCTCTATTAACTGGTTTGACTACCTAATTATATTAGATATTTGTGTAAAATAGTTTGGTATAGCTGTTAGCAAGCTACTTTTGTAAATTGGTCAATAAAAATATTTGAACAATTTATTGGTAGGAGAATTTTTTAAGAACTCTATAAAGAGTAGCAAATTTGACCTGGATAGAATAACTCTCTTTCAAAAGCTCTCTTCCAAAAAGCTCCTAAACCCTGCTTCTCGTTTAGCCTTTTGCCCCATATCTTTCTCAACCATACACTCCCTCATTTCAATTTCTATTCTTGTTTGGTATGAGAGAGTGATAGTTGGAAGAGAAAATCATAGTGGTGGGATTGGGTTTAGAATATTGTTGTGAAAAGGACCTGAAGATTTAGGTTGGGGACCCTTGAGGTGGCCACCAGCCACCCAGAAAGGTGTAGGGTCTAGGATTACATGGAATTTGCTTGTATTCTCCTCCACCCTTGACACGGCGGAATGGACACTAATGTCTGCTATACTAACAAGCAATATCTGATATTCTCCTTCCATAAAACTCTTTTATTCAACATGATGTATTTGATATTGAAAAGCATGAAAAGGAATATGGAAAATAGGTTATTAACCTAATTATAATTAAATATTCAAGACTCCTGAGTCTTGAGTTCAAACCTAGGCCCTCTTTAAAAAAATTTGTCTCTGCCATTTTGACTAGAGACGTGTTACTCCAGTGTCTCGATATGACTGACTCATTTTTATTTAGGAAATAGTTGCCCATATTTATGTAGACCCTTCAAACTTTCCTAAGCTAAATGCATGCATGAATTTTACATTTGTGATTCTTCTTGTTATTCAACCATTGGTTAATTCTTTCAGGTTATTCCATGGGGAGACTTGGACTCCTTAGCTATGCTTCAGAGGCAGTTGGATGTGGACATCCTTGTGACTGGGCACACACATCAATTTACTGCATACAAACACGAAGGTGGTGTTGTCATAAATCCAGGATCTGCCACGGGTGCATACAGCAGCATCACTTATGATGTTAATCCAAGCTTTGTTCTGATGGACATTGACGGGCTGCGTGTGGTGGTTTACGTTTATGAGCTTATTGATGGGGAAGTTAAGGTGGATAAGATTGATTTCAAGAAGACCACTGCTCCTCAATCTCCTCACTGACTCGAACAATCTTTGTAGATGTGCCTGCCTTCTTCACCAGAACCTGAAACTGACTTGTGCTTTTTCTTAAATTTTCCTTGTTTGAAAAAAGTTGTCTTGAAATGGTTATGAAAAGCTTTTAATAGGTCAAAATAGATTTTTTACTTGTGAGTATAACCCGATTTTGTACTTGATTGTTTGGTTTGAGTTGTTTATCTTGAATTAGTGTCCAATTTATCTGCACCAACTTTACTCTAGTTCTACGAAGTTGATAGTAAAATTTACCATGTTTATAGTAAGGTTGTATGCTAATCGCTTATACTGCTATAATCCAGAAAATTTTGGCTTAACCATCCTAGATTTCTCAAGAATCCGAGAAGATCATGTATTAAAATCTCAAATAAAATAGTCGACATGATATAAATTAAACTTTTCTAACAACTGGAAAATCTAAATAATTTTAGCTGTATAAGATTTTATTAAAACCTAAATAATGGTAATCCATAATTGTTACATTTAAAAGAAAATAATACGAAGTAGATGACTGTCAAGTGATAAGACTTAGAAATTCATAAGAAAAAGATTCTCAGATAGCTCCATTGAAATAAAAGAAATGAAAATGGCCAATAATCTTATGTAATTATGACTGATAGTTTGATACATATGTTCTGCCTTCTCCTACTCTACATAATAACACTCGTCGAACCAGGTCTGTCAATAAGATGCAGGGAGCAAAATATGTTACACAATCATACCAAATCCTCGATGGCCTCAAATGTACATTTTTTTTAACGCCTCAAATGTACATTTGGTTAAGTTCACCCATGCCAAAAAAAAAAATGTACAATGATATTTTCTGAAATGCTGCTCCTGAAAACATACAAAACATAAGTATACCCAATTTTGTAATCCTATTCCCTTTCCCTATATAATGTGTTTCCACAATATATGTGACTGCTCACATACGAATTCTCAATTTTCTATTACTTACCCCCTTGTTTATCCGTAAATGAATTGGCCACTCAAGCTATTTCTTCCTCGTGATGAAGAAAAAAATCCAAATCTGACCAGAGACATAAATTTTTGATAACGTGAACCATCTTCCAAGACATCAATTATATCTTAGAGGAATCATTCTGCATTGCTATCATGAGTCACCAAACTCCCATCAACCTTCGAGTCTTCACTCTTCTCCTCGTCTTCAACTACATTTGTATCCTCTTTCTGCTCACTTTCAGGGACAATCCCATTTTCTACAATAGATGAACTCCCATTTTCTGATATGTTTTGTATATCTGTACTTTGTGTTCGCCTAGGAATCTCTCTTGATGATGACGATACGGATAACAAACGGCTTAACCCATCAAATGAACCCTTGGCATCCGTAATAAGGGCAGCACCACCAGGGTAACAACGACCAAAGCAAGTTGCACAATGAGGAAAGACAACCTGATCAGAATATAATCCACGTTATAGTTAAGATATAATGTCAAATCAGAAACAGCAGAGAACTATATGAAATTTACCTCCATGAATGCGCGACAAAGTGAGAAGAAAAGAGTGGATTCATTATTTCTAAGCATCCGTGCTTCGTTATATCTCAACAATGAATTATGAACAGCTTTCAGTCCCTTCACTAATTCCTGCGCAAGAATATGTTTCAAGCTTACTGGAGCACACGGACGTAACTCATTCATTGCTGCTGACACACCTACCAGCATCAAGAGATCAGAGAAAGAAGGAACCAGTCAGAAAACTGATCTAAGGCAGGATTAATCTAATTAGTGCTTTGTGATCTGACATTGGATAGAACATACTTTACATTCATCTAGTACTCACCCAAGCTGAAACAGATTCTTACACATAATAACCCAATTTTTTAAATATTACAATGTATTTCAAGCCTAAATATATGCTTGAAAAACATACCATTTATAAATACAGCAAGGGGCGGATGCTCCATCAAATATGAAGGTGGGGTCACATCCTCTTGACTTTCTTCACTGGCGGTACTGCCTGAATACCCAACTGCTGGAAGAGGTACCCAACGATGTGAATCCAGGACAAGCTGGCAAAGTATTTGAAGAGTAAGATGCAATTATACAAGAAATGAGCTATATTTTAGAAATACTGAAAGAAAGAGTCATGACTCCACGGTAATCAGTTAGTTGAAGTGAAAGCTAAGTGAATTATCCAAATTAATAGCCTCATGAAGAAATCTTAGTTTTTAAAATACTTTTTTCCTTCACTATACACACTATTTTCTCTCCATCGCTGTAAGCATTAAATCAAAGCCCCACATATATTATTCAAATATAGTAGCAGTCATAAATTTTAGAATTTAGCTACATGTGTTACCTGAAAATTCTCAACAGCAGTAGCAACATTCTTTGAAAATAAGTTGAGAACAGCCCTGGAAAGAGAGCAAATGCATTTAGTTGGCAAAATTCTTTGGACTTTCCAGCATCATACTTCAATCTAAAAAAAATCCTTACTCTTCAAATAGTGATGGAAGAAGACCTCGATAATCCAGTCCGACCCAACCAAGTCCCATCGCCCAGTGCTGTCACAAAGCAGGAAGTCTAGCATTAACTTCAGGATCAGAGGATACAAAATTCTTTTTAAGAAAACACTCAGAAATAATGCATTTCCAAGATTGAAAAGAGATCAGATGCAGCTAGTTGTGCATTTTCAAATTTGAAGAGGAATAAGATGCAGCTAGTTGGCTTTGAAGCCATCATTGGTGCCTTCCATGTCCTGGTGCTTCTGCAGCTATTATATGCATTCCTAGATCATCAATATAACATTTGTTGTAGTGATAGAAGATAGGACTTAATTTTATTGAACAAGAGAGACCGTGGGTCCTAGATTTTTAGTGGCAGGAAGAGAAGGTGTTATATTATTAGGCAGGCCTTTCCCAAATTAAAAGTATAAAAACTAATCTGGGCAAATGAAAAGGAAAAGTGTAAGAGCTAATCTGGGACAGGTGTAAATTTTTGTGAACAATAATAAGGGAGATGAAGATGAAGAACCAAGCTATATTATGCAAAGTAAAACCAGATTGAGAAATATCTATATGGTTTTGCAAAGTAATGTCCTTATCTTCTTTGTCTCTCATTTCCAAGCAATTGAAAAGAGAATAAGACCCACGCATCATTTTGGTGAGTTGTAATAAATGGTGAAAATGATAATGCTCTTGAGCTTATGTGTATTTCTGTAAAGAAAGTCTCATATTAATGAGACAATTACCCCCCACCCCCAACATACACACACACACACACACAAGTATCTCTTTTTGTAATACCACCTCTAAAGTGGTAATCATAACATATGAAGTAAGACACTTGTTTGAGGGAGGACTTGGACTACTATGGAAATTGACATGAGATTTTTTCTAGCAAAATTGTTTTTTACCCCATTCTATATATATTGCACCATTTACCTTAGAGAGTTTCACTTATATTGCATCATACCCATTTTAGGAAGTTCGCTCGGGCAGTATTATTAGAACAGAGGAAGTAAATTTACCATTACTATCTACCAAACAAGGCATCAAGGTTTGATATATGATACACATGGTCTTTCAATACTAGGGGAAATACATACATCTAAACATGACCAACTACCCATTCATAAAATGAGAATAAACATACGGTTATTTGTGCTGCCTACAGATTTCTAGGATATAAACTTCTTCGGTTAGCAAGTGAATCTAGACACAAATAGGTATTTAATCACTTAATTGCACACAACCTACACCAAACACAATAAATCACTTACCATGCACTGATCGAGAATGTTTGATAAAGATCCTCCTTCAGTTATTTTGGGAAGCATGACCTTAAGCGTTCTAAGGTGAGATGTAATTTGATGCATAGCCCAGCTGAACAAAAGCCCACCATCATAGTTTTCTTCACTTCCAGACGTGTCATCAGCAAATATCGCTCGGTATTGGTTGACAACATCAAATAAATGCATCCTGTGACAGTTAACCATCCCTCTCAAGTATTCATACGGATTTCTTTGGTCTAAATCATCAAGGGTTCCAGTGATCCATGCCTCTCTACATCTCAAGAACTGTATCAAACAAACTAAAAAGTCAAAAATCACCAACAAGAACAAAAAATCAAGAACATCTGAATAGGGAGCAAAAAGACACCTAAACTACACTTATAATTCAATAGCTTTATACCAAAATAAGCCTAACCTGCAAGCGCATTTCGTATTCACTGAAGACACCAATCCGACGTAAATATCCAATGATACGAAGACATTCTGGCAACTGCAATATAAAACTTGTCAAATTCATATTGCCCTGGCTTCCTAGAAGTTTCAGGATTACTGGAGGGGCAAGAAAGAGCTATGAATTTAATATAAAACATGTATCTTTTGAGTCAAAAAAACAGGCACATTATTACCTGAATATTTGATCTGAGCTTCTGAAGAAGCTGTGAAAGCAGAGATTGAGTTGTTTGCTTAACCTCAGCAGCCAAAGCCTGGATGACAGGGATCCTTTATAAAACATAAAGAATAATAAATAAATCACGTTGAATCAGTACGATTCTCTAAACTGCTCAACTGTGACAATACTTGTAATGAACATAGTTGGAGCATGATTCTCACTTTGGGTGCATGGTGCAAAGCTTACTAACAAAAGCTTCCAAGTCAAGAGCTTCATCATAATTTCCATTCCTAACACATCTGGACAGAAAAGGTGATGCACAATTATCAGCAATGAGCTAAGTACCTCACCTACGAACAGAAATCAAAAGCCAGGAAAGCATCTCGAAATTTTATTGCTGACTAGGATACAAAGGTTTCATAGTGAAATAGGTATGTGATAAACACTGGATAGGCAGATAACATGATGATTACAAATTGATATTCAGATTTTCAACCAACTGCTACTGTGCCATTAAATATGAATTCTGGTTCAATTTTCATTACTCATTTGCCTGATTACAGGCCACTGCAAAATCCTAACCAGATATGAGTCATATTCAATGTTAGAACCAAATTAAGAAACCCTTTGAGTTCAAATAAATATCTGCTCTTAGACTCTCAATGCAAGAAAGGAAAAAGATGAAAAGGGCCAAAAACAAAAAAAAAAAAAAAAAAGAAGTGGCACTACAACTAGAAACCGTTAGTGTTTTCTACCATGTTATGCATGGGAAATTTAACCACTTTCTATAATTGCCCTAAAGTCACATATCTAGTCAAAACACCAAGCATATGCATTTTGGGTGCCCTCAAGGATTAAACACCGTTACCACTTTATAACTACATACGTGTCCATAAGCTGAGGAATTTCAAGCAAGTCAAGCAAAGTGCTGTGATTTTCCAGCAATGTTTGGTTCATTTTCCTCTTCTCCAGAATCTGTTCAGCTGACTCAATGAACTCTGTGCAACCAGATGTCAGCTTAGGGACTTCATCAATCTACAACAAACATTAAAGCATATATTCATTTCCAAAAATCAATGATCAATTTACAAATATCAAATTATTTCAAAATTTGAGAAAAAATAAAATTCTAAACATTAAAGATTGCATACAGCTTCAAATTTTAAACAAACTTCCTGTGTTTCTATTTATTTGCACCATTTCTTTTGGCACCATAATTTAGGAGAAAAAGGAGGGGCATAAGAGGGTACTGTAAACTAAGAAAATTACATGAACTAAGTCAAGCGGGAATTGGTTCCCATGTGAAAAACAGGGGCATATACGTAATTCTATAGAGTTTTGGGGACACAAGGTGGAGGAAGAATGTTCACGCTTATAAATGCTTAGATGCTGACATGTGTTATAAAGGAATGAAGAGCTTTTAACTCTAGGGTTTTCTATTATTCTTCCTTCTTCATGCAAACAGAGGAGATAAAAACTTAGTGGTGATTGAGATTCTAAAATCCTGACATTTGACCGTCAAACAGGACAGTGTCACTGGTCACCCTATAGACTATATTATTACTTTATGCATTAATCTAAAACTTAAAAAGTTATTACTCAGTGTATTAGAACTTTAGATTTTCACTAAATAAGATACACCAGATATAGTCAGAGGAGCAATTCAAGTCTCAAAACATCTTTTATAGGAAAGACAGACTTCTTAATTAGGATAGAGAGATAAACACAAAAGAAGATTTAATTTGAAAAATCAAAATATTCATTAGCCAATGAAAAAAATAAGACAATGTAAGTTCTCCTGTCTGTGCAAGTCCTATCTTTAAAATGATTTCCCTCTAATTAAAATTGCTTTAACAGATGTCTGCATAAATAGTCTCTCTTTCTTACAGGCTATCAAAGATATCAAATTCGTCAAATTAATTCTATGAAATCCTCTATCTGGCAAGTGTTTACTAATAAACTTATCAGAACTGTATACATTCTAGGAAATTATGATCCCCAAGGGCCTAGAGACAACTTACTCCTTACTCCCTCTTCTTCTTTTAACTTTTTTCACAGTAAATTGTTAATTTTAATCAAAACTTCATCTTGAAACTGCATATTCTTGTGTCACCTACAACCTCTTGCTCTCAAGAACCTCCACATTCGATATAGAAACTCATACATAGTCCATTCCATAAGCAAAATATGATGGCATTTCAATGAACTTCTCATTCATTTTAATTTTATGCAGGTGACAGACGAAGTAAGCTAAAGAAAATAACAGTTGAGTCCACTGACAGTTGTATTAACCTGCAATTTACTTCTACCTAAAAAATAGCAATTACATCCACAGTGTATTGTTCATTGATCTGCAATCGGATTTATTCCCTCAAATAAAAATGACTATGTTCCTTGGACTTTTCACTTCTCAAGTATCATCGAGAAACTCTATTTTCCTTCTCAAGACATAAGGAAAAGGAAGGCAAGTGAAACGTGAGGAAGTAGAGGGGATCAGAGGAATAAAAAGGAAGATGGAAAGTGGAGCTCTATTTTCCCTCCAAATCTCTCCAATTTTGAAAAGATGGTTCTTATATCGGGGGGGGGGGGGGGTGGGGGGGATCTCTCCATTTTGAAAAGATGGTTTTTATATCGCCGGGGGGGGGGGGGGGGGGGGGGGGGGGTGTAAAACCCTCCCCTTCCCCCTATATCTTATCCAAACTATGGAACTTGTCCTGTTGTCCCCCTCCCTTTCTCTCCATTTTCTTTTATCTAAACAATTCGCAAAATATGGGTATGGATGTCTAATTGAGACTTTACATTGGACCAAATAAAGGAATTTTTTCTTGAAATAGCTGAGCCTTACACTTGGACACATTCCCACATCAAACACCCGAGTTCCAAGTAACATATAAACAGCAAATCAAACCCAACTTTATTAGGAGAATATTGAGTAATTCATCAATTTCAAATCATCAACAATAACACATGGAAGATGGAACTTAGACACAAATTTGGAATCAATCTTAATCAAAATCATAAGACTTAAAAAACAAAAATTTACTGTGTGTACACAATTTAAAATTTTCAATTAGTGTATTGCATTGCCGCATTTTAACATCTAAGTAAAAGCTACCAAAAAATAAAATCCAGTTCAAATAATCAACATTGTTCACCGCTATCAACATTGTTATGTGAATGCGCATGATGCTCTCGAGTGTAGGATCTAACTCGCAAACATTGTTCAAACCTAATCATAACATTAATAATTACAAACAATCAACATTTCCAACTAAATTAAAACAGCAACAAGATCAATTTATTACCAGTGATTCAAGATGATTATCAATTGAAGAAACCTCTTCCCTAATCGAAACCAAAGCATCAGCAGCAGATATAAAAGAGCGATAATTCGCGACGGCAACTTCCTGCATCTGCCGGCGAATCCTCTCCGCATCAACTCGAAGAAGCTCCGGTTCCTGCCAGAAATTCAAAAATGGCGCAAAAATTAGAGCTCAGAAATGGAGGAATTGAGAGAGAAATTGAGAGATTCTGACCTTGTGAAGACGATCAAGAGTGAAAGAGAGGAGCTCAGAAACGTAAGGTTGCTGGGAGATTGAAGCGAGAGGAATGAGACCTGCGACTTCTTCGCCATTGTCGTCTAGGTTTGAGGATGATGATAGGGATAACGACTCCATGGATTTTCTCTCTCCTCGATAGTGTTCTTCAGCTTGAGCTTCAATGGCGAAATGGAAGGAGGAAGATCGTGATGAGTGTGATGAGAAGAAACCAGACTCTCAGATCCAAATTAATTTACTCTTTTTTATTTTATTTTTATTTTTATTTTTTACAATTTACGCATTAATAACTTCGGCTTATTTTTGCTGATGAAATAAAATTATTTTTTCTGAATTAAAATTAAATTTTCGGAATTGAAATTATTTTTACTGAATTTTTATTATATTTCTTCTTTACTAAATTGAACATGAATTAATTATACTAAATTGAAATTAGGAAAATTTGGATTTTGGTACCTCGAAAATGGGGGTAATTGAATTTTAGTACCCATCTAAATTTTATTTTAAATTGGTACCTCAAAAATGACTAAACTACAGATATCAATACCTCCATTCTGTCAACTTTGCCGTTAGTGGGTCCCATTATCTAATTATTTAATAATTTACTTTATTAAAAAAAAAAACATTTAATTAAAAAAAAACTTAAAAAATAATTTAAAAAAAAAAAAAAAAAACCTTAAAAAAATAATAGTACCCCGCCACCCAGCCCTGCCTCCCCGCTAGGGGTGTTCAGATCCGGGTACCCGGGTTTTCGGGTACCCGAAATTTCAGGTACCCGGATCTTCGAGTAGTTTGAACTTCAGATCAAGGTTATCGTGCTTTTAGGGTGAATTCCAAACCAGCCTTTCTCTCAATGAATGAGAGAGAGAAGGAGAGATAGAAAGAGGAAAAAGGTTTGAAAGTGTGATTGAACCCTAAGAGGAAAAAGGAAGTGAGTAGCTGCGTTATTTTCTGAGGGGGTGAGAATTAAACCCTAAGTGGCTTGGTGAGTAAGTGGGCTGGGCTAGTGGGCTCAGCTGAGGGAGGATTTTTTTTTTCTAGTTTATTATCGGGTATCCGGGTAAGTGTGGCTGGGCTTCGTGCTTGGCCGCGGCGACAGCTACTGTGGCTGGGCTTCGTGCCTAGTCGCGGCGGCAGCTGCCGTGGCTTGGTGGTCGCTGTTGGCCGGAATAAGGAGGGAAGCGTGGCTGTTGGTTTTTTTATTATTTTATAAGTTTTTTTGTTTGTTTGTTTTTTTTTTATTTTAAAAATGTTTTTTCTTTTTTTTTTAATAATTTAAATTATTAAATAATTAGATGATGAACCCCACTAACGGAAAACTTAACGGAACATGGACGGAGGTACCAAAACCTATAAAGATACACTTTTGGAGGTACCAATTTAAAATAAAATTTTAGATGGGTACTAGAATTCAATTACCCCCATATTCGAGGTACCAAAATTCAAATTTTCCCTGAAATTATATTTATTGAATTGAATTTTTTTTCCTAAACTGAATTTATATTTACTAAATATTTTTTTTAAGGTGAAATGAACAGGGCCTTGCTACCGAGTACGAGTATAATTTAATTTTCACAAATTCGTATGTCACTGATTAAGTGATTAGACACTAAGTAATGCTATAAGAATATTGAAATTGGGGTCTAATCTCTTTAGCTTATTTTCAGTTCAAATCCAATTAGTTCAGTTCCTAATTTCCTTCTCTCATAAAATCAGTTTAGTTCATTTCATTTCAGTTCAATTAAGCTCTAATTAGTTCAGCCCAATAAATCAGAACAGGCCCTTACTCTCTCAAGTAAGGGTTACTCAATGAGTGTTAGGTTTACTCGATCTGTTTTATAAAGATAAGGGTTACTCGATACTTTTTATAGGGGTTATAATTACTCGGTCAATTTATAAAAGTTATTTTGTTCTTTTATAAGTCATCAGTCAATCACATAGTGTGGTAAGCCATATACAAAACGCATTATTTCATAAGGAAGAGTGATGAGTTATAACAATATTACGAATCATATACACTGAATGTACTCGTATTATGTAACTTTTAGTCAATTAAAGTAATTTTTTAACATATATTGGGTAACTTTAAATATGTAAATACGAGTAGGCATAATAATTGGCGCAATAATATTACTAGAAAAGTTATGATATTTTGTTTCGAAAAAGTTATTGAGTAATAAAAACAAAACCGCAAAAAGACTAGAAAATAAAGGCTAAACTAAAATTTTCAAAATCCCATTGGGAGAAATGCCTAGAATTTTAGTTCATCCGCTTGAATTTCAAAATTTTTACTACGTATGCGTTTTTTGCTCAAATTTTCGAAAAAAAACTAGGTATTTAGGATCTGTTCTCTTACGTTGAAATTCAGTTCAGTTCAGCTCAGTTTAGTTCAGCTCAGTTCAGTTAAGTTCAGTTCGGTTCAGCTCCTAGTTTCCTTCTCTTATAAAATATTCAATTCAGTTCAGTTCAGCCCAGTTCAGTTCAATTCAGCTCAATTCAGTTCAGTTCAGTTCAGCTGAATTCAATCAATGAGAACAGACCCTTAATCTCCACCCAATGTTTTTTTTTTTTCTTTTTTTAAAACACGAACTATCAATCGGTGGTGGTTTGTTTGGAGGAAAGAAAATTATACGAGAAAAAAAAATGATAGTGAGGGTTTGTTCGTCCATTCATGTTTAATTGTGGGTGTTAATTTGTGAAATATAAACGTCGTTTTTTTCAAACATTTGTTATTTTTGCTCAAAACATTTTCGAAATTCGAAAATAATCCGACTTTAAGCACTACAGTTGCAGACTTGCAGTATACTTATTCAAAAACTGGTTCAGGCAAGTACCCCCACCCCACTTCCATCTTCATCCACCGTCCACCGCCGCAGCTCCCCATCTCTTCGCCTCCGATTTCTCCGGCAGCCGCGCACAGCTTAACCTACCTCCACTACTCGAAGCATCGTTTGCACAACAAGGTTGCCCCTAATTTAATATAAAAGTACTCCGTAGTATAAATTCTGTTCAATTGTTGATTGAATTTGTATGTGATTGTTCATCGAATTGTTGTCTCAATCAAGTCTTGATTTGTGTATTGCATTACCATTATTTGTCTTTAATTTCATATTTGCGAATAAAATATGTGATGAATTGAATGATTTCCATTCTGGGTATGACAAAATAGCTCATTTCTTGCTCGGCAAAATAGGAGAGAGAAAGAGAGCTTTATTTTAATGGCGCAGCAGAAAGCGGAGGATGCAACACACCCTTTTAAGAATCTCTACAGTAGAGAATATCAGGGTCACAAAAAGAAGGTAATTTTAGCTTTAATTGCCCTATATATAGGATTTTCATTATTTTTTTTGGTCCAATTTCCTGCATTCGAGTATAATGTTTTGTGAGTATAATATTGTGAATGTGTTCCAAAATATATTTAGGTGCATTCAGTGGCTTGGAATTGTATTGGAACTAAGCTTGCTTCGGGTTCGGTTGATCAAACGGCTCGAGTTTGGCACATTGAACCTAATAGTCATGTAAGTATTGGTTCTATGCACTCGTCTATTAAAATTTATCTTATTTGATGTTTGTATAATATTGCTAAGATTGAATGAATCTGTTTTGGGTAGTTTGTTAAGGGTTAGGTGGTTTTGTTAAAGTTGTAATTGGTTAGAGGTGAGATTGCATATATTCGCCAAATGGGGGATCAATACTGGGTACACCGGTGGTTGAAATGTTTTATTGAATTGGATTGTCAAATTTATCATTTAGTGACCAATTGACCTACTTAGCTGTCCATGAATTGTTTTGAGAGCAATGATAGGTGAGGAGAGGAAGATATTCAATTAGAAATTTATGTTTGAATTTGACTAGTTGTAGTTTGATGATGCTGCTAGAACTAATTGAGAAGCGAATTAGTATTTAAAAAACTGTGACTTTGCCTAAGCTAGTTGTAGTTTGATGATGTGGTTCTAATTTATCTCAGTCTTATGTACTTTAGCTTGTGAGGTGAGACCGTGAGAATGTGAGATTGTTGAATTACTTGTATACCCTTTTTTGTCTCAACTTTGTTTTGCTCTTGTTTTGATTAAAAGGGTTCCTTTATATAGGCGCTTGACTAATTTGTGAAAAATTTCCTTAATTTTGGCCCAAAGTGGACTGCTGGAATGTCCATGGGGAATTCAACATAGGTACAAATGTGCTATTGAGGTGAAATGAAGAGGTCAATTAACATAGCTTTCCCTTGTTTTCTTTCTATGGGGATCTATTAATTAGGAAGACTGATTAAAATGTTGTTTTGGATACAAGATCTGTGGATTAGGTAGACCTATTGAAATATTGTGTGGATACTATATTTGTGGATTGGGGAGACCTATTGGAATATTGTACTATAACGTGCATACTTTATCCCTTGATGTCTTTGATTGTTTGATACGATAACATACTATTACATCCGATGCGTGGAGCTTGAGCTGCCTTGCTTTTGATACAACAAGTGTAACACCCCAATAATTGTCTCTCTTACCTGTATAATAACTTTAAAAGATATTTCCTCCGTTTTTTAATTAGATGCATCACTTTTGTAATTGCGGACGCCTAGACAATTTTTGAACTAGAGGGAGATAGAAAGAAATGTAAATAGGGCCCATGTGATAGGAAAGAGATAGAGATAATTTATGAACTAAAAAGAAAAGTGATCCATCTAATAAAAAATGGTGGAAGTATAAGATGATCAATAACACTTTTGGTTTTGGTTATCATAATTCCCAAAGTCTTTCCTCTTTTCTCCAATTTTACTACTTTCAGCTGCGTCCCTAGCATTCAGACCATATAAGTGCACGACTCTTACATATACCTTATCTTGTTCTTAAAAACCTTCCCGACTAATAATAGTTTTAAAGAATGATAATATCCAGTAAACATGCTTCTTTAGTACCTAAATGGTCAAAATGCTTCTCGACTAGTCTAAATGTGAAAATTAAATCTTGATGGAGGGAGTACCTGTTTTGATATATCTTGTCTATTGCAATGTGGGATTTTAGAAGTTGAGGTAGGCCAAGATAACTTGGATAAAGTTAAAAATGATAAATAGAAATTTGGTTTTCTGGAGAATACAGTACTTGATAGTGTTGAATGAAGTAAGAGGATCCTTGTTGACAACCACTGGATATAATTCTTTGGTTCATGCAATTGATCCCAACTCCATCCCATTAGAGTCAAGGCTTGGACACTGTTGATATCTATTGCAATGTGCTACACTATATTAAGTTCCCAGTAGTCCTTTCACGATGGCATGAACTGAGATTTTTTTGGGTTACCATGTAACCATGGTGATTATAACAAAGAGTTGGTATCCTGACTTGTGCAAATTTTATGTTACTTGTATCTGGCAAGTGCTATCATGTCTGAAATACATCTATTATAGTATTTATAGTTTTGTGTTTTTGTATGCGTTTAAATTCCTTATCCTTTTGATATTTACTGCAGGGAAAGGTAAAGGATATTGAATTTAAGGGGCACACTGATAGTGTGGACCAGCTCTGTTGGGATCCCAAACACGCAGATCTACTTGCAACTGCATCAGGGGATAAAACAGTTCGTTTGTGGGATGCTCGCAGTAAGTTGAGATAATCTAGATGCTTGTCACTTTGTGATCTTTGTCACTTAGTATTACTTACACACTTACACATGTCCAGAACCTTGTCGCTTTGTGATCTTTGTTTTTGTATGCTTCTTTTCTATAAGCTCCATATATTCTCTCATCCTATTATTGCATCTCTAGCAAAACAAAGTCAAAATATGATCTAGCTATAGGTGGTTCCAGACATGCTTTTGAATACTTTTCATATAGTCTCCTTTTTTATGACTCAATTGTTTATTTAAATTGTTTGGTGCATGTATCAGTGCACAATTTTATTATTTCTTCCAAAAAAATTATGAAAAGTTATTTTTTTGAAAATTGAAAATATACATTGAGATTAACCCAACAAGATTTAGATCATGACATATATAACCACATAATAATAATAACACGTGGTCTAATACCATGTGATCTAAGTTAGTATATGAATAGCGTAAAAATTTAATGATGCATGTATTAAGAGTCTGAGAAAAAGTCTATAAAGTCAAAATCAATACAATACTCAATACAGTTATATAACTAGTTAGGGGTGATGCTGCATTCATATATTTCATTTACCTTGAAAAGGGAAAACAATAATCAGAGATTGTATAACCGAACTAAAGATCAGATGTGAGAACAATGTGTTAGATTTCGGGAAAACTCCTCAATCCTGGAGTGTGTACCATTGACCAAATATATAGAGTTTACAATGCTAGGCCTAATCACGTTAGGAATCCTAGATACGATAAACATACAATAAATATATCCTAACTTGCGACAAATATTATCCTAAATATAATGTCTATCACACCCTTGCAGTCGTAGCGGGAGGAGGTCGTACGCTAAGACTGGATCGAAATTCCAGAAATAATTCTCGTGGTAGACCTTTAGTGAAAATGTCTGCAAACTGATATCTAGTAAGAACATGGAGAACCCGCACCTGTCCCAATGCAACCTTTTCTCGAACAAAATGAATATCCATCTCCACATGTTTGGTGCGTTGGTGCTGGACGGGGTTGCCAGAATATAAACAATAGTAGCCTGCCATAGAGGACAGTGTAGCTCTAGTAAAAGATTACGAAGCCAACACGCCTCAGGGACAACATTCGCGACGCCTCGGTATTCTGCTTCTGCACTCAACTTAGATAATGTATGTTGACACTTGGACGACCAAGAAACGAGGTTGTCCCCAAGGAAACAACAGTAGCCCGAAGTGGAACGTCGGGTATCGGGACAACCTCCCCGGTCAGCGTTTGTGTAAGTAATTAGTCGATGAGAAATAGTAGGATATAAATGTAGACCATGATCAATGGTACCCTGAACGTAACGCAGAATGCGTTTCAAAGCCTCATAATGAGGTTCCCGGGGATCATGCATAAAATGACACACTTGTTGTACCGCATAAGAAATATCGGTATTGAAGAGCACCTGCTAAGCTGCGATACAAAGTAGGATCCTGAAAAGGTGGCCCTGCATCAGCACTAAGTTTGGACTTAGTGTCAACTGGAGTGGCTGCAGGTTTACAAGAGGCCATCCCTGCACGCTCTAAAATCTCCTGAATCTCCTACGAAAGTAGCAAATAAGAAGGTTTTCGGGTTACTGCAATACCCAAAAAATAACTCAGAGGCCCCAAGTCTGACATGGAAACTCAGTTTGCAACTGAGAGATGATCCCTGTGCGTAACCTCTCAGATGAGGTAGCTAAAATAATATCATCAACATATAAGAGAAAATATTCCATATCATCTCCGTGCCGGAAAGTAAATAGAAAGTTGTCACTTTTAGCAATGACAAAGCCCAATTTGATAAGAAAATTCGCAAAGCGTTGGTACCAAGCACTGGGAGCTTCAAACCATAAAGCGCCTTGCGGAGCCGACAAACATGAGAGGGAGCCCTCCGATCAACAAAACCCGGAGGTTGATGCATATAAACAGTTTCCTGCATATCTCCATGTAAAAAGGCATTTTTGACATCTAATTGATGAATCGACCACTTCTTAGCCATAGCTAAACCGAGAACAGTGCGAATAGTAGCCGGTTTAACTACCGGACTGAATGTCTCATCACAATCAACACCAATTTCCTGCGACCTGCCATCACATATAAGACGAGCTTTGTGCCTTTCAAGGTCACCATTAGATTTGAATTTATGCTTAAAAAGCCACATACAATTAACAATGTTCACCCCCGCAGGCCTAGGTACCAAATCCCATGTCCCTGTTTTAATTAAAGCACTATACTCATCATTCATCGCCGCATTCCAATTATGGTCATTTAAGGCTTGTTTATAAGACTTTGGAAGGGGAGATTTATGAAGAGGTGGACCGGAGGGTTGTACGGTAAGATTGCAATATTTCGGGTTTGGCTTGTATATGCCCCGATGACTACGGGTGATACGGGGTGACGGTGGGGGAGGTCTAGTGGGCTGCAAAGGGGCTAAGCCACGCATAGTTGGCGGGGTGTATGAGGGTGGTGAGGTGGGGCCTCTAGGCGAAGAGGGCAGGGGGTGCCGCGACTGGGCCGCGGTTGGGGAAGCAGTCCCGCTGGTTTGCCGCGGACTGGGCTGGTTGGCAGGTGCGGGTGAAATGGTGAGGGAGGTTGGGCTATTATGCGGCATGGGGTGTGTTGGGCCTGCTGTGTGTGGGCTCGGCTGTGCTGGCCTGCTGTGTGTGGGCTCGGCTATGCTTGGCCTGCTGCAGTGTGGGCCGTTTGGGGTGAAGTGGGATAACCCATAAGAAAATGAGTGAGGAGGGGAGAGTGCTCATCGTGACCCAAGAAGGTATAATCTTTCAAGGTGAATTTTTCCATGGTTTGATATGGAAAAACATTTTCATTGAAGGTGACATCTCGAGATATGATGACTTTCTTGGTGGAGATATCTAAGCACTTATAGCCTCGATGATTTGATGGGTATCCCAAAAAGATGCAAGGAGTAGAACGAGGGGCAAGTTTATGTGGAGCAACGACCGACAAATTTGGGAAACAAAGACAACCAAAACCCAAAGATGATCATATGATGGGTTTTTTTTTAAAGAGAGCCTGTGCCGGAGTGATGTTCTTTAGAGATTTGGTTGGCAAAATATTAAGAAGATAAGTTGCCGTCTTAAGAGCATGTGACCAATAAGATGGTGGCAAGGAGGCATGGAAGAGTAATGTGCGTTTGACATTATTAATAGTTCGAATCATACGCTCGGCTTTTCCGTTTTGGGAAGAGGTGTGAGGACAAGAGAATCTAAACACCATACCATTAGCATTAAAAAAATTTCTAAACAGATCGTTGTCGAATTCACGAGCATGATCACTTTGGAATGATTTAATAGGACGCTCAAATTGAGTTTGAACATATTGTTTAAAAATTAGAAAGCTTTGGTAGGCTTGAGATTTTGAAGCTAAAGGAATAGTCCATACATAGTGAGTGTAATCATTAAGTAAAACCAAATAATATTTGTGTCCATTAACACTACGAATAGGAGATGTCCACAAATCAGCATGAATAATATCAAACGCACAATTAGTAAAATTATTTGAATCATGAAAAGGAAGTCTAACATGTTTCCCTATTTGACAAGAGTTGCAAAAAGAGGAGTCAAGCCCCTTATTACAATTAATAAAATTATTACTCCTAAGAAACTGAAGAGAAGAAGCCCTAGGGTGTCCTAAGTGGTCATGCCAAGTGGATGGAGCAACTGTGGTGAGAGAGGTTGCAAGACAAGTGCTTGGTGTAGTGGGTGTAACTGGATAAAGGTCGCCGGCACTATTGCATCTCGTAATTACCCTCCCCGTTTGAAGGTCCTTCACAGAAAAGCCATTAGTGTCAAATTTAATTGAAACCAAATTGTCAGAAGTAAATTTACGAACTGAAATTAGATTTTTAATGATTTGAGGGGCTAAAAGGACATCTTTTAAGGAAAGTGAATTATTAGGGAAAGTGGTATGACCATAACCATTAATAGGAATGCGGTGACCGTTGCCAACTAGAATATGATTATTCGTGCTTGAATTAAAAAGGGGCAAGAGATTACCTGAGTTATGAGTCATGTGAGATGTAGCTCCGGAGTCCATGTACCACCCATTGTCCGGATTGGACAGACTCATCGAAGAGTATGCACTCCCGAGCTCCGTAGGGGTCATAGGTGGGCCGTGTTGTGACTATCCAATAGTGTAAGCTTGCTGAGAAAATAAGCCACGGACTGGAGGACCAGTGGGCCGAGTCTGATAAGGCCCACTTGTTGGTAAAAGGGCTGGAGGTGCGGCCCACCCCTGCCAGTACTGTTGCTGTTGGTTGGGCCAAGGGGGCTGCTGGACCCAGTTCTGGCCAGTAGGTGCGGCCTGCTGCGATTGCCAGTGTTGTTGTTGTTGCGAGGTCTGTTGCTGAGGGGGACTGCCCCTACCAGGGCCACCGTGGCCGCGGCCCTTGCCTCTCCCTTTACTGTCGCTGCCTCGTCCTCGCCCACTGCCACCGGCGCCTCTGCCGGCACCGGCTGAATTCTGCTGCGAGGTGGAGTTCGACGCTGCATTATTAGCAGACTGCTGCTGAGCGACGAACGACGCCGGAGCTGTTGTGGAGTCAGTGTTGCGGCGGGTTTCCTCCAATAAAAGGCGCGATCTTGCGGTATTAAAAGATGGTAGCGGGTCTGTCTGAGCTATCATAGTAGCGACCGTGTCAAAATCGGTCTTTGTGAGGCCGGCAACAAGACAAAGTACCAACTTCTGATCGGAGTTTGATCGACGTTGGCAAGCTGATCGGAGATGCTTTTAAGACGCTTGCAGAAAGCAGTCACATTGGGAAAGTTGTCAAGATGAAGAGCATTAAACTGATTTTCAAGGTACGCCGCCCTTGTGCTCTTATTATCTTGGGAAATATCCTTGAGGCGATTCCAAATTTGTTGTGTAGTGGAATTCGGAGAAAGAATTGTTGTGAGGAGATCAAGAGAAATAGTTCCATAGATCCATTGTTTGACAATGGCATCCAATCGTGTCCAAAGAGCATCCGAAATCTCATAAGGTCGTTGAGTTTTGGGATTGATGTGGTCAAGAACGTTGTAGGCACAAGCATGGTTCTCAAACAATTCAACCCAATTAGCATATTGAACATTCTCATAATCTAGAATAAGAGGAATCGCATTCTTGATATTATTAACGGCGAGAGCCGGGTGAAATTCATTGGCCGGTGGAGGCGGTGGAGGAGGGGAGTCGCTGTCTTTGGCCATTGAAGAAGGGCAGTGTAGTGTTAAAAGGAAACTAAAAGAAGAAACAGAAATCTGGAAAACAGAGAACGAAAATAACAATTTGCGGAAGACTTGGAAGGCAAGGTCCCAAACAAAACAAAAACCAACGAAGTGGAAAAAAAATAAAAATTTGAGATCTAAAACCTAAGCTGTGATACCACGTTAGATTTCGGGAAAACTCCTCAATCCTGGAGTGTGTACCATTGATCAAATATATAGAGTTTACAACGCTAGGCCTAATCACGTTAGGAATCCTAGATACGATAAACATACAAAATATACATTAAATATATCCTAATCTGCGACAAATATTATCCTAAATATAATATCTATCACAATGAATCATCCAACTTTGCTTTTATTACAACATATTCACTAGAATGAGACTCTTAGCATGTTTGCCTTTGTGCTGAGCAGGTGGAAAATGCTCACAGCAAGCAGAACTTAGTGGTGAAAATATTAACATTACATACAAACCTGATGGGGCACACATAGCTGTTGGAAACAGGGTAATTTTCTGTAATTTTCATGCTTGTTCTTGAGTAGCTCTTACACAGTTTTGAGTTTTGTTCTTTTTGATCACTTAATTAGAATGTCACTTAATGCATGGTATGCCAGCTTGCTGGCAACTTTTGTCCCCCCTATTGCTGTAAGAGGCCATCTCACAACTGACCTTGGCTTTGGGATGTTTTGCTCATTCTAACACCATATTTTTTTTTTTCCTTTTCGTAGGATGATGAACTAACAATTCTAGATGTTAGAAAATTTAAGCCAATTCACAGACGCAAGTTCAATTATGAGGTGATTTCCTTTCATCTTACTGTCAGTTTGTCTCTATGCTCTTTATTTCCTCAAAATGCTTTAAATTCCACTAACATTTAGAATTTCAGCTAGCTATGCTAAACACAACATTTAGATTACAGTTGTGTTTAGCATAGCTAGCTGAAATTCTAAATGTTAGTTGAAAACCAAATAGTTATATGATTGCAATGAAGCTGCTTGTTAAAAGGTTGAAAGCTTAAGTCAATCAAAAGGTCATGTTTTAGATCTTCTGTAGTATTACTAAAGTTCAAGGTGAAGGAAAATTCACAAAAAAGAAAGTAATCTTTTTGAAAAACTAAGAAAATTGGGTTATTATAGTTGTAATGTATTTATCTGCATGCATTCCTGTATGGGAAATCCCAATTAGTTCAAGCATGAGTTAGTTTTCTTCAGTCACCACAACACACTTCTTTCCGTGTAACTTGTGTTTTGGGCCTGAGAGAGGCAGCCCAGGTTGGGCCTTCTATACCTAAACCAAATGTAAACATTTTATGTTTATTATATATACTTGCTTGCAACTATGCATTGGTTCCTTGTTGTCCATTATCCTGGATGAATATGAATGGTTCACAGTTTTGGGGGTTTAGTGTGGGAAGCTAACTTCCGTACTCTTTCTCACCTAGACTGCAGTGTAAAAGTCAATGGAAACTGTGCTCTTAATTCTCATGTTCTAAGTAGAAGAGTGTAAAAGTCAATTAAGCAAGTGTAAAAAATCAGCTCCAATATAGTTTGTTCAATTACAGAGTTTATCATGTATTTATTACTAATTTTTTTGCAGGTTAATGAGATTGCATGGGACATGACTGGAGAGAAGTTCTTTCTGACAACTGGAAATGGTAAGATTTGATTGTTGATGTAGAATATTTATTTGTGCTTTTATAGAATGGAAATGTCAGTATCAGTCATGTTTTGCGCTATAGGTACTGTTGAAGTCCTTGCATACCCCTCTTTGAAGGCACTTGACACTCTTACGGCTCACACTGCTGGTTGCTATTGTATTGCGATTGATCCACTAGGAAGGTATCCCTAATTCTGTCTCAACTTATCTATCCATCCTGATAAGGAATTTTTTTTGTCTTTCATTTGTTGGAAGATAAGCAGGAAAAAGAAATTGCAGCTCTCTTGCTAAGATACCTTTGTTCAAACTCTCATGGTTGCAGTATGGTGTGATTTTCTGTTCCTGATATTAGATCTAATTTTTAGTTATAGTCATTAGTTTTGGTGCTCTTGGTAATCTGGTGGCAGCTACTATTCCCTTGCAATTTATGTTACTTGGGTACTCTGTACTTGTGTTCGACACAATTACGTGTTCAGGTGTCCAACTTGTCTATTTTGTGAAAGTTTAATTTTTGTGTCAAGAATCTGACTCTGGAATTTGAAGAGAAATGAAAAGTCCGAGTTACATAGCTTGTGATTATACAGTGTTATCAATATAGTATTATGTTTGTAGCTCTCTGGTCATTAATCATCTCTATTTTGCTCCTAATAATTCATTGTTGACGTGTGTATAGTTCATGTCTATTGGTTACAAAGATCAAATCATTTATAACTTTTTCCTTGTAATTAATCCAAATAAGTCCTGTTGATAAATTTGGGATAAATGGCAGATATTTTGCTGTTGGAAGTGCTGACTCATTGGTCAGTCTTTGGGATATTAAAGAGATGCTATGTGTTCGAACATTTGTAAAACTCGAGTAAGATTACTTCAGATTTATCTTATGTTTATATATATGGTGATCCTCCTATATTTCTGTAACTCTTTCTTTTTTTTTTTTTGTTAATAATCTCAGGTGGCCTGTTCGAACAATAAGTTTTAATCACACTGGAGAATATATTGCTTCAGCCAGTGAAGATTTATTTATTGACATAGTAAGTCCCTAGATATTCTTTTGCTGACATTTGATTCCAACCCTTTCCTAAATCTACTGCTCTGTTTGGTATCTAAACTCCTTGTGTTCAATTAGCATTAAGAACCCCTTGTGAGGTGTGGTCAATCTGGTCATGATTGTTGGAAATGCTTTATCTGGTTTATTTTGACTTGAATTTAACAGGCAAGCATTGAAACTGGACGATCTATCCATCAAATACCTTGTCGGGCGGCAATGAATAGTGTTGAATGGAATCCAAAATCAAATTTGCTTGCATATGCTGGAGATGATAAAAACAAATACCAAGCCGATGAAGGTCCTAAGATTTCTGTGCACTTATTCTTGAAGCTGATAATCCATTTATTTAATTTTGTAAGCACGTTGCTCAATTCCTTTTGAGAGGACGATCTTCAAATTTTCACCCTATTTTTTTGGTGGGATTCTGGCAGGTGTTTTCCGCATATTCGGGTTCCAGAGTGCTTAGTTTTTGCAGTGCGACTGTACGAGGCATTAGTATGCACACTTTCCCTTCCCTTGATAGCATTCTGCTGAACTGTTGGTGTGGAATGAGACATGTGTATGTTAGGTGGATTACAGATAAGTTAACTGTGCTAGATTGCTAATAATGTATTCCAATTCGACCAAATATTAAAGAGATGAAGCAGTAGCTGTGGCAATCTGTGTAGAGGCAGGCAATGGATTATTCACATGGAATATGGTTCAAGTCCAATTCTTTTGGATCATATGTAGTTTGTCATTCAGTTCGGATTGGCTAATGTGGGATACAAATAGTTTTTCTGTAAAAATCACCAAAGTATTTTTTTAATCTTCAGAATTAGTCAGATTTGGTTCCAGTCAACACTTTTTAAAACTCCCCAACTAAGCTTCTCTGAAGGAGGCATGCTTAAGAAAAGAAAGAGGATGGATGAGAAAGGAACATCAATGGGAGACTTGAGCATCAACCACTAGTAATTAACTAGTTATGGCTTTGTTTTGGGATGGCTGGGCTTAATGTTTCCAATTTGAAACAAATATCATTGCTGAGAAATGTAGGTAATTTTGCTCTGAAATATACTTGAAATATTCCGTTCAGAAGTAAAACATTCTTAACTTAGTAGGATTTGTAAATTTTGCATACTGCTATACTCATACTTCCACGTTTTTGCTAATTGGAGAAGGAAAGAGAGGGAAGAGTTGGATGATCAAGTTTTAAGTTATGTCGTTGATGTTAATCCTTGAGCCTATGACATTTCCTCTGCTCAGAAGGAAGAACAGATTTATTCAAAAAAGCTATTCGTTTTTGGATTCTTTACTCATGACACTCTAGAATCACTCTCAGGTATACAAGCAACATATGCGAATATGTGATGCACTAAAGTAACAGCTTTCTCTATAATATGTTGTACAAACACCTGCAAATTAGCTTGGGTATTATGATCAAGTTTTCTGCCGAAAGTTTATGCAGCATGTTGAATACACTTGTGCAAACAGTGCTATATCCCTGCTCGTGATTTACGGCGAAATTAACATCAGCAAATTTATTTAGGTAAAAACCCCAAGAGTTGAGAATCGGGAGTTGATGCTTCATGTTGAATGAGTTTAACCACTTAGTTTCGAGTTATGGAATTGTGATCACTTAGCTTCTTCCAGAGAATTAGAGCATGCATAATTAGCAGCCGAGATTAATAGATGATACTTGAATTTGTTCCTGATAGTTCTTGATATTTACAAAATATTACAATTCAAGCTAACCAAAAATAATTAATCGCCAAAGCTATTATGTGGAGTTTGGAAAACCTTGATGCTTTCTTGAATTATCCTTGAAATGGTTTTCTTGGCGTAGATGTACGATTCTCTAATGATTGCAATCTCTGCTTCAGGTGAAAAACTTCATACTGAAAATAATATTGATGCAAAATTAGTTTATTGCCATGTATGTCGAGTATGTCCTACGTAAATATTTATTGAAATTGTTTTAGAAAAGGGGTAAATGAAAACTTTATACTAGGATATGCACAAGTGAAACTTGAACATAAAATTCAAGGCCATACCTGTAATTGGAAAGCTCTTGTTCGTTCATTAGTCAGCATTTTCCTGGTAGAATGCAGCTCCTACATACAATTTATAGGGAAAAAGAGGAGATACATGAACATAAAATAATCTACTAAGCAAGTGATCATATAAATCAATGTACATAAAATGGAGCGCTTTTTAGTAAAGGCGTCAAATAAAAACATACCTTCTGAGTGTCATCCAAGACTGCTTTCAAGAAAGCTACATCATGTTCAAGTCTGATGTTATCAGAATGTGCAATGTTAGACAAATTATTAGCCTCTTCCTGTGCCAGTTCCAGACCTCCTAACTTCTCCTTTAGCAACTCCAACTCCTTCGTGGTATCAGCCAGCCTTTTCTCTGCCTCTTGCTTACTCTTTAGAGCAGATGATGCGTTTTTCTCAGTAGCTTCACGATTAGCCAAAGCAGCTGCAAGTTGACCTTCAAGCATCCCATTCTTCCGTATCAAGGCAGCCATTCTTGTTTCATACAATTGATATATGCTTGAAGGAGCAGAATAAACTCCACACTTTTCATCACTCTCTGGGAAAATTATCTCCTCGTTATCAAGTGGAAACTTTTCACTGACACAGCTGGGGACACTAAGATTTCCAGACTCTGAAAAAGAAGGTATATCTTCCATGATAAATCTGCCTGAGGTTTCGGCTGGACAAGCTGTTTCAGGGGGTCTTCTTTGTTCTAAGAACTGAAATTCATTCAAATTGTACAAAATAAAAATATTAAATACAAGCATCACATTATCAAGGGACACATATTATAAGCTAACAACCAGGCATTCACCAAGCAACACTTACATTTTACAAGTAAAAAAAAAAATAAAAAAAAAAAAAAAAAAAAAAAAAAAATCTCCAAGAATTAACAGAAAGCCCAATATTACATACAATTATACAAAGTTATAAAGAAATTCAGACTAGTAATAATAACAGAGTGAAATTGTGATGGCCTCACCTGAGAGAGTGAGTTCTCATCGTCAGAACTCCTCGAATTCGATGGTTTACGAGTTGGATCCTCCTCACAGTGAAATTGCTTTCTTAGAGAAACGCTTCCAGAGGCATTTGTTGAATCGGCATGGACAGACTCTGATAGAGATCTCCTAGTAGAGCCATGTTCTTCTATTATCGATGCTAGATTTTGTCTAAGAGAATCAACTGGACAGGAAGGAGCACCATGAAGCTGAGATGCAAATTCATTAGATGAAGAACGATTATGCCGTGGTAATGACCCTGGATTTTTGTTTGGGGCCAACCTTCTCCCAGAAGAGTTTCCACTCTTGTCCAATATCAGCACTTCAACCTGTGCAATTAAGTATGGTAAATCATTGAAACACAAGTGATCTCTAACACCAGCTGTGGAAGAAAAACTTAGAACCAACCTGATTTGATGGTTCTTTCCTAGATCCTCCAAATGCAACAAGGAAGTCCCTCTCTTTGTGTTCTACCAGCACAAGACTAAATCCCTGTATATCACATCAGAAAATAGAAATAAGGAACGTAGACATGCTTGGACAACACCTCCAGAGAAACTATCTACAACTGCTACATGTGAAAGAGAGAGTTATCTCACTTTATTGGTTGTGATGGAAGATGGAGGTGATGTAGTTGCAACTGACCATTCAACTTTTACAATGTCAAAAATTAAGGTCTCCAAGTGTCCTGCACAAGACATAAGAAAAACACCATTGAAACATGAGCAGTTTCAACGCTATTTCATCCATTGAAAATAGGCTTTTACTTCATAAACAAGGAAAAAGTATGCTTTATGTTAAAATAAAAAGAACAAGTGCTCATGATGGTTCAGTGTAAAGGAAGTTTTTAGTACAGAACTCAACTAGTAAAATATATCATTTAATATCGATGTACTGATAAGTTGTCCATTTCCAATTATGCCAAAAAATTGATTATGAGTTGGGTTTGGATTAAGATGAAAAATTCACAGTGGCTATTTATTGGAAAGATTTGACACCCCAATAAAGTTGCAAGCTTCTCTCACTAACTAGTTCAAAAACTCCTGAATCCAGCGAGCTATTGCAGAAAGCATAAGCAAGACAATTAGCATAAATCAATTAAAATAAACACTGCTAATACTTACTTTTTTTACGGCTTCCACCACCAATAATATACCATTTAGTTCCACATAGTACACCGCAACAACCAGCTCTTGGTGAAGGATGGAAACCCCGGATCTTGTTTTTTGACCACATCATCTGCAACACAAAGGCACAGTTTAATTTATCCATTCATATCAAACAAATGAAAGTACAGAATGATTTTAGATGAAAATTTGAACAGTGATAAATGAGCAGGAATGATTCAACTCACCGTCTCAAAATCTAACGAGTACAAGTCATTAAAAGTCTTAGATTTTGAAGACCCTCCAAAGATATAGAGTATCCTATCATCGTATAGAGCTGCAACATGATTAGATCTTGGAGATGGACCTGTTCCCCTGTTCACACATTTTATTTGTTAAAGCTCTGGTGATACCAGCAATTCTATACTTTCCAAGTACCCCCACCCCCAAAATTTATTAGGACTCTCCCAAACAAGTACCAGTTTATAACTTAAATCAGGTACAACATAACCTTGGACATGTAAGGCATTTGGCCCATTTGACAGTTGGTAATACATGACAATAGTGGAAATGAATTTATATGTAACTTGAATCATTTAGTTGGACATCTAAGGTATAGGACTAACAATCAATTAGATAATCGGTAACAAGTAGCAATAATGGGACTAAAAATTTTATGTATATTGCAAAGAAAACAAAAACAAAAAGCTTCACGAAGACATGCATACGCTTGTCCACCCACAAACATCTCTTTTTCTTCATAAATTTCACTACCTTCTTCTTTAGAAAGTGACAGTGAGTGCAAGTAAACGAAGTGGCATTGAGTTCAAATAAAAGGAGTGGCATTGGGTACAAAATAAAAATTCATGATAAATGAAATAAAGAGTACATGTTTGGGGATAGAGGCATTACCATGGACATTGACCTAGACCTTTCTTTGGAAAAATACAATTTTAAAATCTCCATCACCACAATTTATTACCATGCTAGATTTGAGCTAGATGCGAAAGTGCTAACAATTCCAAGAAAAGATTAAAGACATGTGGAGGAAAATGAGATCCACTTACGTGCATTGAAGAGGTAACCAAGTCATTGACTTCAGATCAAACATGTGAAGGTCATTTAACTTCCTTCTTTTAGAATCCTCACCTCCAAAGAGTATTAAAACAGAACTTGATTTGACCACCGTATGACCACTACGAGCAACCTACACGGATATGCTTCCTTTAAGGATCTCTACTTTCAAATAGAAGCTTTAATGTAGATACATATAAATAATCATGACCCATCGACATGGTTGTACAAATACCTTTCGGTAGACAAGTATAATTAACTATACTAAACAATGATCAATATCTCATTAAATTTTTTAATGAAGGGTAGGAGGTACATGAATAGCTCACATAGTTTAATGTATTGTCCACACTTTATTAAACCGCATCAAACCCAAATTGGATCACCAGTAGACAAATAACTAAACATGTTTGAAAGACATACACTATTCACACATAACTACTCTTGTCTTTCTATTATGATTGACATAGTTGAAAGAATCCCTTTCCTGAAAAAAAAAAAAAAAACACACACACACACACACACACACATCTACAACGTATCCAAATCATGTCAAAAAACCAAGGAGTTCAAGTGTCCAATATGCATAAACTGCATAACAATGACCAAGCATGACAGTCATTTAGGGAAAACCAACAGAAACTACAGCAGCCACAACAGGAATGATAGGGTACATTATTGTACCTTTAAAAATATAATGATCCCAAGTTTTTCCTTCAAAGTTCTTTGAAGCAACGAAATAAATTTGCACTTAATCATTGACTAGTGAGTACAAATTCACTCACTGCTCACATAAAATCGTCATTGTTAGCTATCACAACAATCCAAGGTATTTCAATCCCAATAAACTAATTACAGGTAGGGTCTATGGTATAAGTAAATATGCACAACTTTGTAGCATATGTCTGAGTTCAGCCAGCGTAATAGAGTGGACTGGAAGCACTAATCACAATCTAAAAATCTAGCCATGTTTGGTAGGAAGACAAGTGTATGGACACAGAAGCAAAATTCACAACCTTGAATTCAGAGAGCATGGTATTAATCTCAGTGGCATCACTGTATTGCGACCGCATAAAAAAGGAATTTGATATCACTCAACTGAGATATTAGGCCGCAACAGCCGCATTCCACCCGCATTGCCCACAAAAGTGGTTACACAACCGCATCCAAGATTTAAAACCATGGCACAGGAGAAAGAATAAGATAGACAAAAGAAGCAGTCCTAAATATTTCTCCACTTTTGAAAAAGATTTCAGAAGTATATGAAAGAAATGTTATCCTCCATTTCCATTGGCTCTTAACTAGTACCTCCGCTGTCGACCCATACTATTTTGTTTGCATCTTTACTCTCACAAGTCACAACCACTACCTCTAAACCCACCACTTTTCTCTCACATCAACTCATTTCAACCTAACATTAAAAAAGTAACTATATCCCTTTGGAGCAAAGAAAAGGGGACAGAGGGTGTACAATGCAAGGAATCAGCCCAATGTGCAGCCCAGGCCTGTGATCCATTACACTTATTCCCGCAAGAAAACTAAGTCGGCTGGAGCATCTAAGTGAAGAGTGAGCTGGAATAATTCTGTTATGAGTTTGTTAGCCTTGAGGGCAGTTTTGTAATTCTTTTCCTAGTTGATTATTCCCTAAGCTAGTCAGTTTGTTATGATTAGTGGTATTAATAGGAGGTTAGCTTGAGGGGGAGGATATGCTGAAAAATATTGTTAAGCTTTTGCTTAGTTTTGGAGAGCTGCTCTTCCTCTCGAATGAAGAGTGATTGTATTGTTTGATTACCTTGATCATCAATACAAATATCAGCCACTTACTTAATTTTCTGCCTAATCCTCTGTTTCTATTCCTTGTTTTGGGTTAATTCCTAGCATACAACTCTTAAAATCAGATGATGGATATGATCTCTTTCAGTGACCACTCTCTATTGGGTTTTCCCATCAAAGTAAAGGATTAAAGAGCAAAAACAGGTGGAATGGCAGAACAAAATCGTGGTCATCTTTCTACAATAACAAAGGGTCCATATACGAACTATCACATCAGTATCCTCGAGAAAGAATCACCTTTGGGCTGGTTATTTGATACTTGGATAAATAAAGTACTACAATAAGCTCCAACATAAGTCAATTTTCATCTTGGAAGTTGTGAAGAGAGCATACCGGTACATCGCCCTTTGCTTCCATTAGTGACCAGCATTCTGTTTCTGTGTCATATGCCCACACTGTAGAACATAAGCATAAAAATTAGATTTGCTTACTTCCCCATAATAGCAGTTTTCAGCGAGCGTAGCAACATATAGACAGTGAAAGCGCTCAAAGTGCAAACCTGAAACCTTTTCGCTACCAGGATTAGTTTTACCTCCAACCAAGAGAGCTTTCTTACCCCAAGAAACCTAGTAAAGAGAACAAGGAACACATATAAATTGTTAAGAGCCTCAGGCTTGTTTGTAAATAATTTTCAACAATCTGATGCATTATATATATCATAATATAGAAACAATACCAAACTATGTCCCTTGCAAGATGGGATCTTCAGGGGCAGGGTATTTGGTGACAAATATATTTTTGAAGAAGCTGTGGTCCATGAAAATTGATCAAAACTAAGCACCTGCAGTCGTGCAACAAAATGTTGAAGGGAACACCGGAACAGCGATGATACTTTCTAATTTCATGATGTTGTATGACATTTAATCATTACAATTAGCAGTGAAGAATGTAAGGGATAACCTGCACATCATCTAACATTCCATCCGTAGATTCCCCACCAACCACCACCATCTTGTTTCCTACTACAGTTGCAGCATGCTGCTCAAATAGACAGGACATGATATATCTTGTTCAGCTCAATCTGTTTACCAAAAATAATTAAAATAGTTAATGATGAGTGACTGATGTGAAATCAAAATTACGTTCAGGCGAGGTTTGGGCTTGTCTCCAGAAATTGACAAAACCATCCAGCTCTCAGAGCTTCCTGATGTGCAATTGCTGATATCTCGTGGAGCAGATGAACAATGACAATCAGACTCGCCTTCTTGATTAGAAGCAACCACAGTGGTTTCCACCTATAAGTATAAGGATTATTATGCAAGATTCAAACCTCTTGACACAATGTTACATAAAGGTGAATAAAATGTTTTACATTGGAATTGCTAGTCCGCTTGAGAGGTCTTAAAGGACTTTTTGTACCCTGGGCCGAGTCTGCAAGGTGCACTTTCATCCTGGAATAAAATTCAATCAAGTAAGAATCTCTTCTTTTACAGCTTATAAATATGAAAACCTCAATGTTGTTATCTACTCTCCTTCCCTCCTTCGAATCGACAGCCCAATTGCTCAAACCCATTGTCATAAAAAAAATCACAAAAAAGACCCTTTAACAAAAATCACAATAATCCTATAAAAAAGAATGTATCATAATGACTTCATGGGTATAATGTGAATTGTGAAAGTCAAATGGAACTCCATGAATTGAAAGATTTGAAACATCATGAATTGCATATTACTGTACTTAGAAAATGCATTGCAGTACCTTCCTTTTAACCAAATTTGACCCCAGAAAGCGTAATTGCAAGAATTAAAACATCATAACTTATATATTACTCAGCATGCATGTAAGATCTTTCAATTCAAATTTCAATGCCAGAAAACATGATTCCAAGTACTAAAACATCATAAATTAGTAAATTACATATCACTTGTCTTAAATGTAAGATCCTTCAACACAAAATTCAACAGTAGAAAACATAATTCCAAGAATTAAAATAATTATTACATATTACTCAGCAACAATATATGAATTTAACCTCCTTCAACCCAAAATTCAAAATTCACTGAGTATAAAAATACTTGTACCCCATGTCCCCATTAAATTCAAGTTGTAATATCATAAAAAAAAATTACCATATACTTCATAAACAAGGACAGCAGCACTAGCATAGTTACTGTACTACCTATGTCCGGATTTAGTCACATTACTAATTCAAATCGAGTGCGTATTAAATAAACCATAAGTAAACAGACCTTCCCAGCTTCGGCCGCCTCCGCGTAAAACCAAACATTTTCATATGCACAAGCTCCCTTCTATATAATCCTAATCAATCAAAAATCAACAACATTTCAATTGATAACAGACCCACCAAAAAATAAAAAATAATTGAATTTCCACTACTTTATCAACAACTGAAAAAAGGGTCACTTTTAAAACATAATTTTATTACTCCATATTATTATTTTAAAAAGACCCAAAATCTTAAAATGACATTAAAAGCAAGTAAAAGCTAAAAGACCCAAATCTTAAAAAGACATTAAAAGCAAAAACATAGATTCTGAAAGTATAGAACATTCTAAAGATGAAAAGAGAAAAACAGTACCTGAATAAGTGAGAAATAGGAGAGAGAAAATAGGCGGAAATACTGAAGAACCCAAAAGGAGAAACGAAGCAGAGAGGCTGAAACGACACCGTATTGAAGAGGAAGACAGAATCTTATCTCTCCTTTATTAGTTTATTACTGGTACTGTATCAGACAGAGATAAGCTGTAATTGGGAAAGACGAAAATGTGGCGCATGTTAGCACTTAGCAGCATAGAGAGAGTAGGAGAAAAAGGTACTCATGTAATTTACTTGTTCCATAGTCATTAATTGTTCACAGGTGGGGAAAAAATCATATACTCCCTTCGTCCCTTTGTATTTACGAGTATTAATTAGGAAAGTTCTCTTCATATTATTTTTCAGTTTAGTTTTTAATTTCCTTCTTTTATAAAATATTGAGTTCAATTCACTTTATTTTAATTATGTTCAGTTCAGCTCAGCTCAGTCAGAACAGGCTTAAGTCTAAAATACTACCTTCGATCCTTTAGATTAATTTAAGTGCATTATTAGATTGTGCGCAAAGTTTTAATGCAAGTGAAATCTAATGATTATTACTCGTAATGTGTGAATTGGGTTAGATATGTTGATAAAAGATAAGTGAGGTGGTATTTTATTGGAATGGCAATGTGATTATGTGTTAAGACTATGGAAAGAAAAATAAATGATAAAGTATAACAAGTGAAGTTTGTAGGAGGAAAATGATTAAACATGAAACAATATATTTTGCAGTTTCATTTAAGAATGTGATGTAGTTATTTAGATACAATCACTTAAATGAAGTGATGCATTTATTCGTATACGAATGATCTAATGGTATATACATTAAGCCATTAAGGCACAACTTTTATTACTCCCTCGGTCTCTTCCTATGTTACCTGGGCTTTTCATTTCACCTCTAGTGTCCATGTTGTATCCTCGACACTCGAATATGAGTATGACACTTGGACACTTTACTTTTGATTCAAAACTATGAATTTGTCTTCACAAAATGGTTTTGTCTTCACAAAATGGTTGAGTTAGATGCTTGGATGCATACTCATATCGGACATGGATACCCTAGTCCATGACTCCATGTAACATAGCTCCCTCCGCTTCTCTATGTGTGTCAAATAATAAAAGTTTAAATAAAAAAAATTGCACTAATATGTGTAACACTAGAAAAAAAAATGATAGAGAGTATTAATATGTGTTGAGCTGCACCCAATTAATTCATTTGTTTATTTGGGGGTATAATTTTTTTTTTTTTTTTAATATCAGTGGAGGATTACATGCGTCTTTTCATATACTAGTTGATGGGTACATATGTAATTTTCTCACCAATTAGTAAAAGCAAGTTGCAAACAGTAATTAAACAGTTCATCAAAAGTACTGAATAAATAACTACGTTTTTTCAATATATTTACAAAAATGTTATCAGATTAACAAAAATTCGTTTATTTAGTAGGCCCACATGTGTTGAGTTCACTTTTATAGCTTTATGTTAACGTTTAAAAATTTTACTATTTTCCGATGTTAACGTTGATGCTATAGTACGCCTGGGGGGGAGGGACAGTGTAGTGTAGTAGTACGGGAAAGAGTGAGTGACCAGTTGAGTGTTGACGGTTGGAGGTGGGAAATGATGACGAAGAACAAGGCAAACCCCATTTAATACGTGCGGCAATATTGCATCGTTTGCGGGACCATGTTTCATCATTTGTTTCCTTTTAACTTAATAACTCCGAAACACATTTCGTTCTTCTCTGCTTCCTACCACATTCTCACGTGATCTTTATATGATCCCATCTCTGATTTAGATTAGAAAAATTTGAATTTTAGTACCTCAAAATTGGGGGTAATTGAATTTTAGTACCCATCTAATTTTTTTTTTTTAAATTAGTACCTCCAAAATGACAAAAGTATAGGTTTCAGTACCTCCGTTACTATTCCGTCTGATTTGCCGTTTGTGGGCCCCGGCTACCAAACTTCCCTCCCTTTGTTCTTTCTCTCTCTTCGATTCTCATTCAATTCCCTCCATTTTACTCTCTTTGTCTCTCTTTGCCCTGTTCCTCCATAATCAAATGCTCAACCACATGCAATAACTCCATTGCCCAAATTCAACCACGTTTTCTTTCTCTCTCCACTGTCAATTACTAGGCTGTAATTTTATTTTTTTTTTGTTTTCATTGTACCTCTGCAATTGACTCAAAGGTGTCTTCTTTTGACTCAAAGCACACATCAGCAAGCTTCTGGGAAAGGTCAATCTTGGAGTCGTCATCTCCATTGAAAGAAGTGGGAGATTCTTCTGACAACGAACATGTATGATTTCCCCAACTTTTTGTACTGTCCATTAATGATTTGTTGCGCAATTTTGATGAAATTTGTGGGTATTTTTGGAAAAAATTAATTAAACCCTAGATTACTGTGTTTGGATTAAAGTATCAATTTAATTGAAATTGATTTATAATTGAATGTTACAAATGCATGTGTTAGGGTATTTGTGTTGTTGCTTTATGGTAATTAGTGTAGGGTAATGCATGTTACAGTTGATGTTATTGTTGTTTGTGATATAGAAAATTGGTTAATTAGATTGTTTATTCCTTAATTTGTAGAATCTCAAATGGATGAGCTTGATAACACTGTTGAGGAGGAGCAACACACTCTCAAAAAAGCTTGTACTTCATTAGTTTTGAGGAGGAGCCCTAGGTGGCAACAGTCCAACCTATTAACAGAAACTTGTAGTGCAGTTAGTGAGCCATTAGTGAGGAGGAGTCCTAGGTTTTCCTCAGGAAGTGAATTAAGGGGTGGGAAATCATAAAGGGAAAGGGAAGCTGAGTGAAGCTGCTGGGTTGGGAAAGAGGATAGCCAAATCAGAGGGGAAAGGGAAGGGTAAGGCACAAAGGAAGCTGTTCATTGATGATGAGGAGAGTGATTCAGGTTCTTCTAGTGAGGACTTAAGTGACATAGACATAGATTGGAATCCAGGTGAGGAGGAAGAGGGTTATTCTGAAGATGAGGGATTGGGTGAGAGCACTGCTAACATCCTAGGTGAGGTGGAAAAGAGTTTGGCATTGGTTCATCCTGGATGTTCAGGGCAGGGGAGTAAGCAGAAGTTGGATCAACTGGTGAAAGATCTAGGGCAGGGTGAAGTACAGCTTCATGAAGAAGAAACTGATGATGATGAGCTGAGAAGTGAGCATGGTTCTGATGAGGACATAGATGACAATCCTTGGTTTAGGGAGGATACAGATTTCAAGAAACCTATTGTGTTGGTGAAAAATCAGAAGTTCACTAACATTTTGGTGCTTAGGAATGCACTAAGAACTCATGCAATTGAAAATAGATATGAGTTCTATTTTCTACACAACAACAAAGAGAAGTTAACCACTTTCTGCAGGAAGAGATGTGGTTGTGAATGGGATTCAAAGAGGAGTAAGCTTCCTATTTGTAAGTGCAGTGAGGAAGTGAGGAGGTGCAAGTATAAGGTCATTGCAAGGCCTTTGTTCAAGAGTAGTGCTTGGCAAATCCAAGATCTGAAGTTGGAACACAATTGTATGAGGAGTAACATGAATGCCAATGTTACAGCAGAGTACTTGGCTGAGAGATATGTGGAAGAGTGGAGAAACAACCCTAGTTGGAAGATAAACAACTTTAGGGATAGGGTTTTGAGTGACTTGGGCATTAAGATTGGGTACTACAAGGCATGGTTAGCCAGGGGTAGGGCTAAATTCATGATATATGGCTCTGCTTCTGAACAGTATGCCAGAGTTTGGGATTATGGGAAGGCAGTGCAGAAATATAGCCCAGGGACTGTAGTGAATGTGGTGGTTGATGGATTGGATAGGCCAGAGCCACCACTATTCTTGAGGATGTATGTGTGTCTTTCCCCACTGGTAAGGGGTTTCTTAAAAGGCTGTAGGCCTTTAATAGGGGTGGATGGATGCCATTTGAAGGGCTCCTACCCTGGTCAGATTCTGGTGGCAGTGGGAAAGGATGGGAACAACAGCATCTACCCCTTTGCATGGGCTACTGTAGAGGTGGAGAACAAAGAAACTTGGTGCTAGTTCTTGGAGTGTTTGAAGCAAAGTTTGGATGACTTGACAATGGGAGGTGGCTTCACTTACATTTCAGATAGGCAGAAGGTTAGTGAACTATCAATTTAGTGACTTTTTGTGGCATTTATTTTGAATTGACTGTGTTTTATTTGTTTACTCACATATAATTGTCATTTTTGTGTTTTTAGGGCCTTCTTGAGGCATTTGAGGAGGTGGTGCCCTTTGCTGAGAAGAGGTTTTGTGTGAGACACATATGGGCAAACTTCAAATTACAGTTCACAGGGTCCACATTCAAAGAGTTGTTTTGGAATGCTGCTAGAGCTACAATATGGGTATGCTCTGTTCTTTGTTTGTTTATTAGTATGGCATTAGCTCATTTTTTGTGGTAAATCCAGATGTGATTAGTTTATAAGCATAACTTTGTGGTTAGTTTAGGTGGTCAGTTTTGGTAAACAAGTTTGCTGGCTTAATATGGGTATGCTGACTTTGTTTGCTGGCTTAATATGAGTATGCTGACTATGTTTGCAAGCTTAATTTGGGTATGCTGATTTGTCTGTTATGTTCTTGCAGTATGTTAGCTAATATATGCCCTGTTCTATTTGTATGCTCAGTTTATGTGTTATTTGTTTGCTCAGTTTGTGAGGTCATTATGAATGCTCATTTTGTCATTAAAGTATGACTGGGCACTGTGTTTGCTCAGTTTGAATGCTGAATTTGTCATTTTTTGTGGAAAATCCAGATGTGATTAGTTTATAAGCATACTTATATGTAATTGCTTTGCACTTATTGTAGGCTGATTTTGAAATTGCAATGGAATCCATAAGGTTCCTTAGTGAGGATGCCTATGAATATCTTGACAACATCCCTGCCCAACATTGGTCTAGGCATGCCTTTTCAACTAATTGCAAATCTAATATGCTATTGAATAATATGTGTGAAACCTTCAATGCTTGCATTAGAGAAGCTAGGGACAAACCTATCCTAACCCAAATGGAATGGTTAAGGAGGTATGCAATGAAAAGACACAATGACAAGTGGGAGGGTGTGAAAAAAATTCAAGGAAAAGTCATGCCTTATGTGACTAAACTGTATGAGAGAATGGAGAGGGTGGCTAGGCACTGCATAGTGCAGGTCTCTAGGGATGACACTTATGAGGTCAACCTCAATTCAGACCAAGTAACTGTTGACCTTCAAAATAGGACATGCACATGCTACCACTGGCAATTAACTGGCCTCCCTTGTGTGCATGGATTTTCTTGTATATTAGACAAGAGAAGTGATCCAGAAGAGTATGTGGACCACTATTATACAAGGGAGAGATATTTAGAGGCATATGACTTGCCAGTACAGCCTATGCCAGGTCCCAAACACTGGGAAAAGATTCAACTAAGGGAGCCACTGCCACCACCTGTGAGAGTCATGCCTGGCAGACCTAAATCCAAAAAGAGAAAGAAGGAAAAGGGAGAGGGTGTAGCAGATGCAGCTGAGGGTACTTCACAAAAAAGGCAGAAGAGATGCCAAAAATGTGCTCAATTTGGACACTATGCAAAAACTTGCTCCAATATTCCTGCAGAAGTGAAAGAGCCTTCTTCCAAGCCTAACTCTATGGGAAAACCTGCTGTAAACACACCATGGGTGGTAGAACAGAGGAGAATCAAAGCTGCAAGAGCTTTAAACAAGGTTATTTCTGAAATTTTTCTCATTTATGTGTCATTTAGTTTGTTTTTCTTTGTCTTAATTTAGTATACATCCCCTAATTTTTGCAGACTACTCCTGGAGCATCAGCAGGACCTAACAGCATTGCCAATAAGAAGTTCCCACAAGAAGAGGCTAAGAAGAAGGCTGCTACTGCTGCAGCAAAAGCTTCCTCAACAGCTGCTGCAGCAGCATCATCTCAAGGAGCAGGAGCTGCTGCATCTCAAGGACCAAAGGCATCCTCAAAAACTGCTGCAGCAAAAGCATCTCAAGGAGCATCAGCACCCTCACAAGCAGCACCTTCTCAAAGGCCTAATACAAGGTCAAGGCAGAGTGCAGGAGCTGAGCCATACCTCTGCAGCCAAGCATCAACCACAACAACAGCAAAAAATACTACAGCAACAAGGCCAAGCAAGAAAAAAAATTAAGTGCAATTTCTGAAAATTGTTGAACCTATTTCTCTGACAGTATCCATTATGTATTCACTTTGATGAACTTATATATTTAGTAGTCACTTTTTGGACTTAGTCCCTTGTAAGTAGACATATTTATGTATATATGATATGACTCTATTTTATTAGATAAATGAAGCACATATATTTGAAGGCCAATATTTTTTGAAATTCATACATACATAATGTGCAATATATAACTTAAGTTCAATACAAACCACAAATACAACTACAATTAAGAACCATACATAATTAGTAGGAAAATTAGTATCACCATACTTAGACATAATACCCTGGAATTCATCACCCTCCCCTAAACAAGTTTTATGACTACACAAACTCCTAAAACCATAACAAGTACACAAAATACAACAACTACAGTCAACTGAAGCCTGTCACCACTACCATTGTTGCCTGTCATCTTCTTCCTATCACCAGACAAGGCCTTGCATTTAGTCTTCAATGTGTCAACTTCATTTAGCAAACACCTCCTTTGCCCAACAAGATCATCAACCTCCCTTTGCAAAGAATTCATCTCAGACTTCATTAACTTCTTGTCAAGAGTGAGGTTGTTGATTACCTCCCTTTGCCACTCAGTTTGCTCTAAGTCAACCCATTCAAAACATTTGCAACCCCTTGTCTCAGTGTTTGGATCCCAAAATTTACAAGCCTTGAACTTGCGCCCTGGATTCTCCCTCGTCCAAGATGTCAGCCTTGCTAGTGGCAACCCACAGTTACACTTCTTCAGTTTAGAGGGAGATTCAGTATTGCAGGACATTATGACTCCTGCAAACATCAAACAAAATAAAAATAAGGGCATTAGACAAAACACACTACAACAACAACAACACCACTTAGACACACCATGCATCACACAAACCTTGTTAAACTGATGGCTGAGCACCATTATAGGGATAGACAGGGGGTGGCCAATTCCCATTCTGTTTCTGCCTAAACTCCCACATACAATCTGCCAAGAACCCAGGATCATCAGTGGTGCCCACATGAATGGTGTAGATGTCCTTATTACCAAGCCTCCTAATCATTTTGAACACATCCCCATCATCCTCTAAATCCCTATATTTCCCTTTATAAATGTACTGGAATCTGGGAAACAAAATATCTATAGATCCTTCTACTGGATCGTCCATTTCACGCAAACGGTCTTCCCACTCTAAGCATTTATCCATCAAGTTGTCTTTACCTATTTCTACTTCAATGTCAATCACTACACTCAAGAACTTATATCTGAAAACCACTCTATCCTCAGCCATTCTGCAAATAAAAATACACATATGCAACAAAAAACCCCAATTTTAGAAATATGACACACATGCAACATTAATTTCAATAACACCAAAAATCCCCAATTTAACCAAATTAAAGAACCCTAACTTTTCTACAGCATCAAAATACAAATTACATCAACATTATTCAAATAAACACACAATTGGCAGTACAAACTACAATGTCAATATCATATGAACCACAAATACAACACAATTCTACTCAAATCAACTTCAAATATAACAATTCGTATACAAAATTATGAACAAACTGACCTTTTTTTTTTCAACCAACCAAATCTTCAGCAAATGCGTGAACAATCCTCCCAACAGCTTCGCAATTAAGCAATTAACAAGAACCCTAAGTCTAATTGAATTTCTATCCCACAAATTTTGATTCTTCACTATAAACAGCAGCAAAAATGGGCAAAAAACGAAGAAAATCGTGGTTTAAAAAAAAGGGAAGTAACAAACTAGCCGTTGACATGGGGCCCACAAACGGCAAATCAGACGGAATAGTAACGGAGGTACTGAAACCTATACTTTTGTCAGTTTGGAGGTACTAATTTAAAAAAAAAAATTAGATGGGTACTAAAATTCAATTACCCCCAATTTTGAGGTACTAAAATTCAAATTACCCTTTAGATTAATCTCATTCCTTAATTATGTCATTTCAGGTATATGGTCGGGTTTGATGAGATTGGTTCGGAGTGGATGTAAATTGTAAAGTCATGTTTTATATCTATAAAATCGAAATTTAAAATTGGATTTTTTTTGGATTAGGTTGGCCATATTAGTTTTTAAGACCTCTATTTAGGATATTCCACTACTTTACAAGTATTTTTTTTTTTTTTGAAAGAAGTCCTAAAGACCTAAAGGACATTAAATTTCATTAAATACAGCCATACGACATCTATAATTGGCAATTAACGATAATGAAAACGAATTTATCAAAATCAAACAATAATTAATCGGAAAAGGGCTAAAAATCCAAATACATAAATATGACAATTTGGCACATTCTCGATTCATTGTCTCATACAATTTTTTGAGTGGATCCGTCGTCGCTTCACAATTTTGTGAGAAAGTTAATTCTTGTGCTGATTCCGTAACTCAAATTCGAGTCATAATCAATCGTAACCCCACACAACTAGAGACTAAATTAAACACAAATAAAACATTGTCTTACGAAGGAGATCGAAAAAACTCTTTCTTTCGAAGGAGATATATCATTTCTTTCGAGGGAGACATTATTATTGTGACCTAAGAAACAAAAAGCTTAAAAGAAAATAAAGATTGGGGTTTTCCACCGGTGAAATCCGATGGAATCCCCTTCAAAATTAACAATGGAGGCTAGAGTTTAGGAGAGAGAAGAAGGAGAGGAGGCTAGGATTTTCTACTAAATCACTACTTTACAAGTACTCTTAAAATTACTCTTTTTGTTTCATAATAAATGCAATAGTAGAAAGATACAAGGGTTGTAGAAAAATTATAATATAAGGGGGGACCAAAAGAAGAACAATCTTCCATAGCAAAGAAGAACACTCTTACATAGCCAATGGCGAAGTTAGAAAGGTAATTAAATTATGGCCTTTAAAAATGCCTCCTCCGCTCCTCTATTATAAAAACTAGAGTGTACCCGTGAAAAATGCACGAGATATATAAGAAAAAATATTTTTAAAATGTGGAAAGTTGATTTTGATGTTGTAATTTAGACTTGATCTGCAATGGTCGGTTTTGAACTGGCCGGTTTTGTTGAACTCTAATTAGCTATGTTGTATTGAGTATAAATAATTGTATTAATAATGTGCTGACACCTGCTGTGCTATGCTGAAATATGATATTCTATGTTTTGCTTAGAAGCTAAAAAAATAGGATCCTACTCTTTTATGTCGGTAGCCACCCAATGCTATTATGGGGTTTACTTTTTCAAAGTTATAGAGGTTAGATGTTCAGTGTTATAGGGGTTACTCGTGTTACTTGGTTAGTGTCATATGGGTTAGTGTCTTGCTCTAGGAGTTACAAACTTTGTTCTGTTGCAAGTAGTTATTCGCTGAGGCTAGTTGCACAAAAACGTGTTGTACATTTTTTTTTTTTGATGATTAAAGAAGTGGAAAATGTTTGGAGGGTAGTCCCTTGAAAAATGCATATAATTGAAGGGGTGGGTATTTAGAGTACTGTAGTGAATTGTTGATAAAGAAATTGTATACTCGTGCTAATATATGACATATATATACTATTGTACCCGAATGAAATGTTAGTAGTAGTCCCTTGAAAAAAAAAACAAAAAGAAAAACCAAAAGGAAATAGTGAATGGATAGTTATTGATTTTTTTTTAAAAAAATAATAAAAAAATAAAAATAAAAATAAAGTATTGGGATGGGTAGTTATTTAAAAAAAAAAAGAAAAAAAAAACCAAATGCATAAGAGTTGAGCATTTGGGTTTTCGAGCACTCTCATCAAAACGACTCTGTAATTATAATATAGATAATAGGATAAAAAAGAATGGTATTCCAATACTACTATAATGGTGCTTTTACCATTTGTATTAATTGAATAGCAGCAAACTACTAAGGTAATACTCCTTTCGTCCCCTTTTGATAGTCACTTATGTCACTTTTTGTGACCCAAAATATTAGTCACATTTGCTTTTTTCAAGTACCATTAATATTATTTTTTACCAAAATTCTCTCCCACTTGCAAAAATATATGTGCAAATTTAACCTTTCCATGTAAATTTTAATTTCTCATGCAATGTAATTACTTTATCTCTCTACTTTTTTGCATACTCAATGTAAATTTACTTTTTCAACGTACTTTTGCTACTTCTTATTTATATTTATTAATTCCCGTGATTTCTACTAGAAGTGACTATCAAAAGGGGAAGGAGGGAGTAGACTATTTATCAGCAATGTAGTTAATCCCCAACTTCATCCTCCAACAAGTTATAAGCCTCACCAGAAGGCCAAAACACTTCTTACTTTTACTGCAAGACAAGATGCCACTCTGCAAATACCAACTTCAGGTAATCTTAAGACACTCTCAAACCACATGAAAGATTAAGTAAACAGAATCAGATTTAAAACAAATGAACACAGGGGGCAGATTGAAGCCCTAATCGAATAAAAATGGAACATTTGACGACGGACTCAACAATTTGACATAACAGTTCTATTTAGCTGGAACTCAATTACAAACAGCTTATTCCTCAGCATTACATTTACAAAATAGCACTTGGTCAGAGTTTAAGATATGCAGCCTGCAAACTTCATCATACAACTAAAAACATACAGCCCTCTATAAACCAGTTGACTCATACCAAAAATTGTTAACTACGAGTAAGCTGAATCATTTTTTTTCCCTCAAATTAATACTCAGTCAAACTTAAAGCTTTTTGCAACATCAAAGAAGTGGGCAACAGCTTCTTCTGGTGTTCCCACAAGAACGCCATGACCAAGATTTAAGATGTGACCCTTCGGCCCTGCACATTTCACTACTCTGCAAATATCAAAGGGAAAAAAATCAGCTTAACCATCACCCTGTATAAAAAAGATAGAAGCCTAAGGTTGCATAAATTTGAAAAGACAACCTATGGATTTCATCAGTCAAGGCTGCAAGAGGAGAAAATAAACAAGCAGGGTCAACATTCCCCTGTACACTGGTTTCTGGACCCAATCGTGACCTCCCATCAGCCATATCTACAGTCCAGTCCAGCCCAATCACATTGACTCCAGTATCTTTCATCCTTTCAAGGAGACCGCCATTTCCATTGATGTAGAAAACAAGTGGTGTTTCAGGGCATTTTATCCTCACTGCATCTACTATCTGCATTTGTTCTAAGTCTATCAGATACCACCAAGCTTTTCCAAATTACAACCACACAAAAAGTAAGGTGTAGTGAAAAGGTATAGCCATTAAAATCAACAACTCGTATTATTTTTACTAATTCTCTATTATATTTGCTCTTTTAACTTACCTTTACTGAACTTTACTTGTTTATCCTAAACTTAACTTATTTTTACTGATTCTCTATTATATTTATTCAAGGTGAAGAGAATAGGGCCTAAGACAATTTAAACATCCAACATCCAAGGAGTAGATACATTTATGATACTAGGGCCCTGTTCCAGATGTCAATGTTAAGCTCATCCAGAACAATGTGTTACTCTCTTGCAGAGGAAGCGTATTTGGAAAATTTAAGCCTGGTAATCAGCTCAAAAAACCACAAAGACCTTAGTATGCGGTGCGGATTCACAGGCACAGGAATACAATTCAACAAAACCTTGCAAAGTTATCAAACCGACAAACCCCACAACCAGCATCAGCTTTAGAATTACCATCAAGCTATGCAACCCTACATCCACGGTCAGCTTCAAGCCTTCAATTGTATCAACACCCCCCAATTCCCCACAAAAATAAGGGTAATAACTGGCAGGAAAGTAGGAACATCAGAAAGAGCTTCAACCAGGTCAGTGTACATTACAAAACAGAGAAAGCAATGATTAAAAATGACAGGAAAAGGAAAGAATGAGTAGGTAGTAGGTGTTTGTCAGGGGATATCAAAGCTCTTGAAAAACAGTTCCATAGTAATCTATGTATGATTACGAATCAGTGGGACGTGGACTCAAGATTTGACAAAAGTTCTTATCTTGTTTAGCTTTAAAATTTTATCTGTAAAAGGCAGTATAGAGGCTTGCATCTAATTTTTCTGGCTTGCTTGATAAAGAGAATTAATCACCCCTAGCAGACAACTTCTAAACAATAATGCAAGTCTCTTGGCGTTGAAAATAGATAAATTTCAAAAGCACAAGCTAACAAATGAACAATGTTCTAGTCATAAATTGTAGAAAACAGATTGGAGACTTGCCTGTTTAATGTAAGGTTTAGACCAGCGTTCCCACATATGTGGTGGTAGTTGTCCACCCCATGAATCAAATATTTGAATACAGTGAGCTCCAGACTTAACTTGGTAAACTACGTATTCAGTAATTGCCTCCGTTATGTGTGACAGAAGAGTCTCGAGAACATGAGGCGATGTATGGCACATACTTTTTATTATGGTGTAGGTGCGGGTAGTACCCCCTTCCACTATATATGTTGCTATAGTCCAAGGTGCACCCACAAATCCCAGAACGGCAGCCTTGTCACCAACCTAAGGGGAAGGGAGTGCATTTAGTAACAACAGAGATTCATACAGCACGAGGTACACAGGGATCATGAAGAAAATAGCATTCACCTCATGGCGCAAAATTTTAAGAGATTCACCAACAAAATTAAGTTTTTCCAAGTCAATTGGATGCAATGTTTTCAAGGCATCTTCATCACGAATAGGTGACTGGATGACAGGGCCTCTGACTTCTTCTATGTCAAAAGGAACCCCAAAAGCAGGAAGAGGGGTGAGTATGTCAGAAAATATAATAACCCCATCAGGGCGAAATGCTTCCCAAGGCTGCAAGGAAATTTTCACAATAAGATCAGTTGTCTCTGATCTCTCTCTAAAGGATGGGTATTTCTCTGCGAGCTTTCTGTAAACAGCCATATACCTTCCTGCCTGGCGCATCATCCATGCTGGGGGGCGGCTAACAGGTTGTCCTCTCGCAGCCTGAACCAAGAGTGGATCTGAATTTTGTAAAATGTGGAGGAAATAAGAGATCTAGCCAAAAAAAAAAGACAGATACATGGAAAGTGCTAAGAGCGCACATATCGTCATCAGACTCATCACTGCTCTCTACCATGATAGTCAGCAATCTCAGCATAGGTCAAATAGTCAGCCATCTACCATGATGCAAATAAGACATAATACAGGGCTCCTCAGATTCAATTTGTACATTCTAACATATACTACCACAAACAATACCCGGTCTCCTAAGATTTAACCTCCTGTGAAACTCTTGGAAACATAAGTTAAGCTCATTATGTTTCCTGTGATATCTATTCTTAACATATTCCCCACCAAACAAGCCATTGGTAATATTTTTATAAATACCCAACCAGCAATTTCCAATACATTTCCCATTCTCTCTTCCCCTAATTACCACATACCAAATGACCCGTTAAATTTTATATTTTTCTTATTGTTCGTTAAAAACCTTAATGGTGTTAAGTATTTTGAAGCATGGAAATATAAAAGTTGCACCAAAAAGACGGAGATTGTAATTTATAAGCATTTAAATTAAACTCAGAATTATAAAAATCCATACCAGTGGTAGCAGAAGCTGAACAAGTCAGAGGAAATTTCCTGTAATTGAGCTTGCGACGAGGAGAGAGAAAGTTTTTATAATTGGAATTAGGAAGAGTAGATAAAAAGCTCAACGAATTCCAACCATTAGTGTGACAACAACCGCTGCAAAATTCGCCATGAAAATGAAAATTGAGGATTTATAGAATTCAAATTTGATGTCAATGCAAATCAATAATTATCAAAATCAAGACAATAAATCTGAAATTGAGGAAGTAAATTGACCTTGAAAGAGAAGGAAGAGACATCTCCAATGGCTATCTTTCCTCTCTCTTGCTAATTATTTTTCTTCAACTGTTGCTGAAAAGAGGCAATGTGACTATGTGAGTAGAGGATAGGACTCAACCTTTTTTAATCTTTCATCAATAAGTCTATTTGTTTTGAATAGTGCATATAACTGATATAACATGGAAAGTATGTATTTTTTTGGAAAATAACTTCCCATTACACAGTTACACCGTTCTCTTTTTCCCTGTAATCCTTAAGTTACTCATAATGCCTAAAATGACGAAAAATGTCTTTGTTACATGCATTATCTACAATATAACAAATTTTTTTATACAATCTCTAAGTTTGTTGGGATTGAAATTTAACCGTATTTGTATGCAAATATACTAATAAATACTACACATTAAATTGGTCTTTTAAGTTCGTATAATTTTATATTTTTCAAATACCTAAATTTTATCGGCAAATCTTGAGCGTTGCTATCACATGGCGTGACCACATTGCTTATAAGACTAACCATTATTCATTAATATGAGTTGGGTAAACTAATTTTTTCCATGAGAGTAAACCAAATTCATAACATGAGTAACATCAATTTATTAACAAAAATTAACCCCATTTATTCATCTCAGTAAGCACTAATTCCTTATCATAACCTCCATTACTCAATTATTTGTCTTACATGTGAACTGTGAAGTGGCTATATAGTGACGATAGTGTGACTAACCACACATAAGAATATGTGAATAGATGTAGGTTTTATTATAAAAACTGATTTGTTTTGCAGTAATATACTACGTAATAGAAATACTCTTTCCATTCTCTCTCTCTCTTTTTTTTTTTTTTTTTTTTTTTTTGGGTTTTTCTATATAGTAACCCTGTTAATTTCACTTTTCTACGTTGTGCCCCGACATATATCACTTTCTACACTGTAAGCCCAATATACATTTTGTTTCCATACGGTAACTTTGCCGTTATCCCGCCGTAAAAAATTATTAGTACTTTTTTAATCTAGTTGTGAATTGGAAAATGTTCCGTTAAAGGTTTTGGGGGCTATTTTGGTTCTTAAGGGTCTAAATTGAGCTCAGATTTCACAAAAAAAAAAATAATATAAATGCCTCAATATAAGTATTAAAACGTAAACACGTAAATCGAGACATTACTTAATAAGCAAAACGAGGTATTTAAGTCCTTTTTTTTGCCAAATCTGAGCTCAATTTGGACTCTTAAGAACCAATAACCCCGAAAACCTTGAACGGAACATTTTCCAACGAACAAATCGATAAAAAATATATTAATAAATTGAGATTGGGCCCACTAACGGAATTTTTAATGACGGGATAACGGCAGGGTATGTTAGGCAAAATGTAGAAAATGGAAATTAACAGGGTTACTCTTTCCATTCTCTCTCTCTCTCTCTCTTTTTTTTTTCCTTTTTCTTTTTCTCGTCTTAGATGAGTTCATCATTGATTTCCATCTACTGCTTTAATGTGACACTGAAAAATTTCTCTACAACCCTTGACATGGTGTAGACATAAAAAATGTCCTGTCCTCTAGTCCCAACATAAAGTCCGATAAATCGATATTTAAAAAGTAACAGTAATTGCTAAAAACCAATCCAATACTCAAACAAATCCCTAAACACAATTATTTGAGCCTAAATTGGTCAAGATAAGGAGCAAAATTGGTCATAAACACAACAGCATTCAACAAATTAGCAACTACATTTGACTTAATTATCAAATTAGGCTTCAAAATCATCACTTTAAATTCTTTTCGCTTAAGAATGTCAACGCAGATTGCACATAGCAAATTCTAGCAACAAAATCAATTGTTATAATCATTCATAACTTGAGTAATTATACAACCAAAAGTTCAATAATTCATCTAAGAAGAACCCTAAATTGACTACACTAACAATTAAATCAACAAAAAACCTACATTGTGAAATTGGAATCTGATGCTTAAGATAAAAAAAATTAAAAACAAACAAATAACTTACCTCAGAAGCTGCTTTAATGGAGGAGAGAGAAATCTCAGAAGCTGCTTCGATGGTGAATTTAGAGTGTGCGCTTTAATGGAGAATTCAAAGCATTGCGCTTCAGCGGAGGAGAGAGAAGGATGGGGTGACCTACGGCTAATTTGCAAAAGTGAAGAGCTTCAAAAAATGAAAATGTTTGAGGAAGATAAGATTAATGATACATATATACTCCCTCCGTCTCCATTTTTTCCGGCCGTTTTTAAATACTTGTTTTATTTCTTTTTATGGAAAGCTTTTACAATATTTAATTCATTTCTCACACTTAGTTGACCTAACATAATACTCTCTCTCCTCCTATTCTTCTAGTAGTTTTTTTTTTTTTTTTTTTTTTTTACAATTTTTTTTTTCTCAACTACCCCACTACCTCCATATTTTGTTACTCTCTCCAATTTCTCCTAAAACTCCGCGCATGGAGAAATGAAACAAGTATTTAAATACGGAGAGAGTACAAACGAAGTAATAGAGTATTGACAAACAAACATCAATACATACATCTAAAGATGTCAATTTGGACAATCGGATACATGGAGTCGAGTCATATCAGGTCAATTTTAAAACTTTGAATACTTGAGTCATATGAATCCAATTCTTGTCCTTAAAAAAAATCCAAATTTAAATCAATAAATTGGATATTTTTTAGAGTTAAGTATAAAACTGGGTACTATCTTTTTGCATTTTTCACCTTTTGGGTACTATATGTTTTTTTTTCATCTTTTAGGTACTCAAGTTAAGAAATCGGTGACTTAACCCAACATAAACCCACCGGAAATAAACATAGTACCTTAGCTAATTAAATGCAGAAAAAACTCAGTCCCTTTATTGAATTATTCATATATGACAATTATGAGGGGACTCAGTTTTTGCATTAAAACCTTTATACTATTGTGTCCATATAATAAAATTATTTCTCTTAAGTTTAAAGATCAAAATTCATACTAATTAACATGAATAATCACACTCACACCAAATAACGGGTGTTCAATTGGTATAAAACATTCCACAGAAGCAGTAACTCCATGTCTCTTGTAACACTCATCTTTACAGGGAGCATGAAGTACTTTATCATGAGGGGTAATCCATGGGAAATATTCCACGCACTCTTTTCCTTCCACCATCATCATGTTCATGCTTGCTTTCTCTATACAAAATAATAATTTAATTAGTTTAAATTTAGTAACAATCAACGTTATTAAATTCGGAATTTTATTTTTAATCGAAAGGGGCTTTCAGAATCGAAAGCTAACATGCATAATCAAGACATTATAGTCAAATATGATTGAATGTGTTTGTATAAAACTTAATACGGGTAATGTTTCTCAAAAAAATAAAAAAATAAAAAAATAAAATAAATTTAATACGAGTAAAAAAAAATTTATATAGTTGCTATATACTGGTACTCCATCCGTTTTTAAATACTTGCTTCATTTCTTTTGGACACGTATGCCGATGCTAATATTTGATCACTAATATCTTTAATTATCAATAAGTATGAATTCTAACAATTGAAAATTAATAATCTATTCATTGAGATGATTCCAATAAGTACCCACAAGACTATATTTTTTCTTATGTATAAATCACAAACATTAGTCAAAGTAGGACAAATAAATAGTGCAAAAAATAGAAATGAAGCAAGTATTTAAAAACGGAGGGAGTATTATTTACTAAATAAGTTTGTAAACTTATAATGTTTTCGTCCATTAAAAAAAAATAACTTATAATGTTTTCGTTATTTAAGAGAAGTATGTAAAACCGGAAAATATCGTAATGCGAATCATAAGGTCATATATGAATAATTAAATCATACTCCATAAGATTCAATGATTTGAATTGTGATTTCAATAATACATTAATGCAAAATAATATAGAAAAAACCCATTATGAGGGGACTCAGTTTTTTCGTTTCCCATGGTCTTTTTTAAGTGGGTCCCACGTGTTAACCAAGGTACTCAGTTTTTAACTCACCTTTGGTTAACTTTTGGCCGGAAAATGCCTTTGAGTACCTAAAAGGTGAAAAAAAAAACATAGAGTACCCAAAAGGTGAAAAATCTAAAAAGATAGTACCTACTTTTATACTTAACTTATATTTTTTGGGTCAGGTCAAGTGTGATTTTGATACCTGATCATACTTTTGCGAACCCTCATTTATGGCATGCTCTTTCTACCTGCTAGAATGGAAAAATATAAATACACTTGATAAGCATCTCAAGGGTTGTATTCGTCTTTTTACAATAAGATGGGAGTCAAATTGTAATTTGCTTGTTGTTTTTCATTTCCTCTCGTCTATCTGTTCTTCGCCTTCTTCCAGGGACGGCGCTGACACGACGTAACTTGGGCGACCGCGTAAGCCCCCCAGAATAATAGGGACTCAAAATATAATAAAAGTTATAAAACGTTATTGTGAACATAATAGTTATGTAGAGCTTTTTCGGTAGGATAAGGAGGTTCAAACCCTCAACCTCCGATAACACATATGACTATTTAACCATTTAAGCCAATATCAAGTTAGGTATTTGTATGAAAAAAAAAAATCATATAAGTGCAAACCACAAGGTTCAATTAAAAAAAAAAAAACTATATTCAATATTTCAAAGAATAACTCAATTTTAGTTTCACAATGACAATTACAGTTTTGAATAGCCTTTTAAAAAAATTATCAATTGTACGCCTACAACAGTTCAGCCCGGGGCAATACTCGAGGTTGCTCAATAGTTGGATTATTTAAAAGAAGTTAGGTGTTTAATTTTTGTTACAATTTTTTTTATCAATAAATGCTTTCGCCACCTATAACCTATTACTATACAAGTATTTTTTTTTTTAATTGATGCCTTAATATAAATATAGAAATAACTTCAGTGCTTCACTTTATTCTTTATTTTTTATTTTTTTTTTTTGGAAAAATACACTTTAATAATCTCAATTATGGGCGATTTACCTACAATAATCCCAACTAAGGTTTATTATTTAATAATCCTAACTATGCCATGAGTATTCCTCCAACTGTCCCAACCGGTCAAGACAAAGTCAACGACATGTTATAACAGGTACCATGACATTGGTCCAAAAAAAAACACACAACCCAGCACAGTCATCCACCGCGCGCCTACCCTAACCTCCATCGGAAACCAGCTGCCAACCCTTTACCACCCAACTAACCCACCCCCGACCTCCTAAACCACCAACCTAGCCCATGCCAACCCCGAATACCACCAACCTAACCTACAACAACCCTCGAAACTTGACCCCCTACTTGAATCCGCCACTATAACTGCCCTTCCTCCCTTCTCCCACCACCGAAACGAACGATTTCAAGAGTGGGGAAAGGGAGAAGGGGCATTTTTGGTGGTGGAGGAATGGGAGTGATATGTCTATTTTATATAGTATTTTACCCCCGTCCCTCGGTCATAATTAGTAGTGTTTTTGGCCCTTTGGGGCCACTGTTATTACTAATATGTGTTTTCTAGTGTTTTCGTAGTTTTGGTTAAGTTTTGCAGGGAATTGCACCTTTGGAGTATTTTCCCGAGATTTTTATGAAGCGACTACGAGCATCGGAGGAGCACGACCATTTTCGGAGCCCGAGGCAATTGGACCATGTATTCGAGACCCAAGAGGAAATATGGATTGGGCCGAGAAATCTAGCCCAAATCGAAGTCCAAACCTCCAAGATGAAGCCGGGCCCGATCGGGCAAGCTTACGCCCGATCGGGCGAGCTGTCGCATGCCAGCTGCCAAGGAGATGCGCGCCCGATCGGGTGAGCGTAGGCTCGATCGGGCGCAGCACTGAAAGATAGGCGTAGAAAAAAAGGCGGGCCCGATCGGGCGCCCCCTTCGCCCGATCGGGCGCGTGTTTTGTTAGAACCTGATTAAGCTTTGTTTATTTCGTGTTTTAGGGGAGATATTTATATTGGTTTTGTACGGATAATTAATCACTTCCTTCTCTTAGACTTTCTCTCTCTACTTAGTATTTCTCTATCTCTAGAATTCTCTCTAAACTCTTGTACTTAATTCCTTCATTAATTCCAGATTTGTTTTGGTACAATTTCTTCCTTTTCTAATTTCAGCTATTTTAATTGTTTTCTTGTTTATGTTTTTAATTGTTTATTTGATTGGATTAGTTATGTGATTAGTGAGTAGTTTAATTCTAGGGTTTAAGGGGATCCATAATTAATATGAAGGGATAGCTTGTTATTATTGATTGTTGATATTGCATGATAATTTCCTATTGAATTGTTTTAATTCTTTGCAATTAGATTATGAATCGAGCAGATGTAATTTGGTTGTGAATGTTTAGCAATATTGAATTGATGAATCGAGCAGATGTTGATTTAATATTAAAGGCTATTTTTAATAGGAACTTAGGTCTAATAAATTGCGAGAGCCTGTTAGATCCATATTGGTTAATAAATTGCGGGAGCCTGTTAATCATGTTATTGATGCATTGTTAATTATTAATTGCTTTGTTCTATCCCGGAATATTAATTATTGGTGAACCTGCGACCCTAGGTTTCCTTATTATTGATTCTTTTCTCCCTAAACTCATCCTTCGTAGTATAGAATTCATATTTAAAATATTGGTTACTTAGATAATTTAGATTATAACAATTAATTAGAATTAAAAAGACTTGTTTCCCTGTGGAGTTCGACCCTACTTCCCTATCTACTGTAGTTAGTGATTTAGGTAATTATTTTTGATCTGGGGATACGACTTTACCCTGTCAAAATTTGGCGCCGTTGCCGGGGAAACGGTTTTATTTTTATTTTCAGATTATATTTTTGTAGTCTAGATTATCCCCCTTTTTGCCTCAGAGAACATTAGTTCTTTGAGGCAAATCTCATATTTGTCTTTAGTTCTTTGTTTATGCCCAGGTGTTCTAGATCAGGTGACATCCCTTTTGATCCTGAGATCGAGCGTTCTTTTCATAGGCAAAGGAGACTCTACAGACAAATTCTGGCGGGTTCTGAGGAGGACAACGACCGAAGAGATCCTCCCACTGATTCTAGTGATACAGATATTCCTTCAGATTCGGAATCAGAGATGACGGCCCAGAAGAAACTCAGTGATTATTCGCAACCGAAGCTCACAGATTTCCCGCACCTTACTCCTACTCCGGCTCTAGATGGAGTTCAATTTGAGATCAAGCCCCAATTTATCACTATGATAGAGAGGAAGCAGTTCAGCGGAGCTAAGGGTGAAGATCCTAATCTTCACATC